GTTCCCCACCAAGCTGCTGTTGGCTCGTGGAAGGAGCTGTGTCCAGCTCATCCAGAGCTGACTTTTCAGGGACAATACTCCGCTTTTCAACACTATCTGGATGCTCCACAGGTCACACACGTAGGAGCAGGTCTAACTCAAGCCCCTTGATCTGCTTTTAAATATTTTTACCTCGATGCCAAGGTCTGGGATGCGGCTTAGCAGGAAATTGCACCCAGCAGGAACGCTGTGGAGCTGTGGTACCATCTCAGCTGCATAAACCACACGGGTGTTTTCAGTGTCCCTTCTCAGCACAGCAGGAACCAGCTTTTCCCACAAGCTCCCAGAAAACTCTCCCTGCTTCCTTGCCTCTTGTAGACAACATCCCTCCCATTTTCCTAAGCCACCACATTGATTTAATCTCTTCACTTCCTCTAAATAAGCCCTGCAATGGGTTCCTGGAGAGACTTGCTGAGCAGCAGCAGCAGTTTGGAGGTGCCCCCCGCCCATCCTGCCTGACAGAGATCACAGCATGGGCCACTGCTTGTTTTTCGTGGTGCTTTATCGGGCTGCTGCATGTTCTTTCAGCCGGTTTTCAACTGCCAGTTCCCTGTAAAAGCTTGTTTCTTCTCATCATGCTTGAAGGCATTTGCCTGCCAGCCCCTTGGTTTTTTTTGGGTGGCTGAATAGAAAAGCAGCCACCACCTTCTCTGGAAGGCTCTGTAATGTCTGTTCAAGGTGCTACACAAACTGTGCCTAAGGAGCACCCTCACAAAATCAACTGAGGCCTGAGGGGCAAACTGTGCTCTGAAATAAAGAATCAGTGTCTCTGTGGAGGGTAACAAATCAAGTTTTTATGGACAACAAGGTGGCAGCACGAGGGACAGGGAGGACAGACAACTCTTCTTGATTCCCAGATGAAACCTCATCTTTAAAAAACAACGTTTTGCCTGTGTATCCTCCTCAGAATGAAAGCTGCCTGATCATTCATGAGGGCTTGGATACTCACCAGTGTTTTCCAGGGGAATTCACGGCAGGAAGGAGGTGAGAGGTGATCTTTTGGCGTATTGAGAAATTTCCCTGTAGTTGTTGACTTTAGATGGGTGGTTCTATTTGCAATTTTTGTTCCCAGCTTTACAGTATTTGAAGAAAAAGTTAAATAGAACAGAAATAGGGAACAAGAATGATACCCACCCCCTTGTTTTTAACACTTTGTAAATCTGAGAGGGGAAATAAAGTGGATGGCACTGCAGGAGGATCGTGGCAGTGTAGCAAATGTTGTTGATTGTGGCCTGTGGTGGAATGTCAACATCAAATTATTGTGGCTTTTGCAGCTTGGAAAAATCGGTTGTGGAAGCTTCAGTATGTGCAGCTGGTGCACAGGATGCCTTTGGAATCAAAACTGCAGCTTTTCTGTTACAGATATTGAAGTTGGTGTTGAAATGAGTTTAAAAGGGGCTGATACAGACAAGTAGATTCATCACATTCTGCTTCTGGCCATGCTGGGCTGACAGAATGATCATGTTATTAACAATGTTTTTCCTCGTTCTATTGACTCTAAGTGTATTTTTAGAGGCTTGTAAAAATAAATAAATAAATAAAATAAATAAATAAATAAATAAAATTTTTAAAAAATCAAGGACAGCGTGGACAAACTAGAGGATTGTTATCAATGCACTTTATTCAGACTGTGTGCAAAAATGTTCAAGAGAAAGAAAAAACTGTAACACAGTTTAGAAAACGTTTGTCTGTTTAAAACAGGGTTTATATTACTTGTCTCCAAAATCCTTTAGTCTGTCTTTGGGGACTTTTTTTCCCTGAATCAGAATAGCCTCTTGTTCAGTCTCCAAAGCAAATTTCCCAGCATAACTTCAAATATCCTTTGTTTTTCTGCCTTTGAGTGTGTTTCCAGGAACCAGCACTTCAGTGTCTGCCAGTCATTTGCATTCTGTGCTGGAAGTACCCAGTGAAAACCCAGTGAAATCCCAGCTTTCCCAGCAGAGAAATTTGGGCACCTAAAAGAAACAACTGAAAAACTCACACCACGTGCTGCCCAAGGAGCTACAGAAGGGGTTTTCAGTTCACCTCACAGAGCAAATGGAGCCCAGATGTTTTCAGCAAACAGCTTTCAAAACTCACAGTTGAGATCAGTGTCAAATTTCCCGACACATGATCAACCTTGGAGCCAAGTTTAGAGTTGCTTTTGTGTTTACAGAAAGGCTGGGAGCTGAATGACACTGAAATTCGTGGGTGGAATGGAGGTTCTCTATAACAAATATTTGACTGGATGCACTTTATCTTATTTACAGGACTTTGAGCTTTGGAGAGAAAAAAACCAAACAGGTTACTGTATTTTTGTTGATTTAATATTTGAGGCATACTCAACACTTTCTTGTTCACTGGATTTAGGACAGTTGTTGATTTTTAACTGAGATCTGTTATCAATCTGTAATTAAACCAGCACGGCAAAATCAAGCATTTTAAAGCTACAGGTGAACCACTTCTAGAGATGATACATGAAATTTTGGGCATTCCTGAGCATTCTGGCTCGCTCTGACCACACCGAGGCAGCCCTCTTGTTGAAGGTCTAACTGTGAGCCTAAGTCACACACCAAATTTTGTTGCTCAGGGACTGCAACAGCGAAAATCTGGCTCAGAATTTACTTTGGGCAAATATTACCCAGTATTTGCTTAGAAGTCCTGTTTTCAAACCCCAGGAAGGTCACTGTGGTCATTTGCAAAGGTCATGGACGAGAAAAGCATAGGTAGAGTCAGAATAATGATGCTAAAGTGGATGTAGGAGTCATGAAAACTTTCCCCTCAGATATATCTTGATCTCTGACTTGATGACCTTTCGTATGGAGACATTCACTAAAGAAGCCCTCATTATTTCTGCACACCTGAAGCTCAGCATTACTGTCCCTAAACTGGCAGATTTTAGGGTCTGTGCTCTGTGTACAAGCTGTAAACAAGAAGAGCTTGCTCCATTGTTCTTGATGGGATATTATCCAAGGAAAAACAGAGATTGTCTTCAACAGTCTGAAGCTTGTGTAGGCAGACAATACAATGATTTTGCCTCTGGGCAGGCTGAATATGCCTCTACTTCAGATCAACAAAGCAGCTGAGAGGGATGTGGATTCAAAATCCACACAGGAGGATGGGAGAGGCCCTGGGCCTGTCTTCTGAAATCCCCAGGTTCTCAGTGTTGCCTGATATTTTCACTTCCAGGTTGCTCCAATTGCTGTCCAACCTGGCCTTGGACACTCCCAGGGATGGGGCAGCCACAGCTTCTCTGGGCAACCTGTGCCAAAGCCTGCCCACCCTCCCAGGGAAGGATTTCCTCCTAAATGTGAATGTTACTTGATGGGAACTCCAGCCTAATAAAGTGATGCTTTTAGCAGGTTTCTTCCCAAGAATGCTTGTAAACTTCTTTAGCGAGAAATTCTTTACTATTTAGGAAGAAATTCTTGGCTGGGAGGGTGGGCAGGCCCTGGCACAGGTTGTCCAGAGAAGCTGTGGCCACCCCTGGATCCCTGGAAGCGTCCAAGGCCAGGCTGGACAGGGCTTGAAGCAACCTGGGCTAGTGGAAGTTTCTGTTCATGCCAGGGGGTAGAACGAAACCAAACCACGAGGAAACAGCGTGAAGCCAAGTCAAAATTAAACCACCAGTTTGAGACAGGGAAGATCTGGGTACGGCCGAGCACGATCTCACGTAACAGCGGAGTTTTGAACTCTTCATCCTGGTCACCAAGGCATGACACACGGCCGTGCAACCCTGTGTTTCCTCTGCTGCCCACGCAAATCTGCTGTCACCGAACACAGCGTGCATTGTGCAACCCGCAGTGGATCCAGAGAGCACAGTCTGGGACTTCCCCAACCTCCCTGACGTTTTAATCACGGGGGGCACAGAACGTCCCAACTGCGGAGAAAACATTGCTGTTACAAACTTTGTAATCATAAAGGTCTGTTTGATGTTCCTGGAGCCGAAGAACACTCTGGTGTGAACACAGTCATACAAGCCTGCCCAGCAGCTACGGCTTTATTTGTTGTTGTTGTTGTTTTTTTACATAAGCATTAGTGTGGGAGGAGAACAGGAGATTTCAGGTGTACCTGGCAGCCTGAAGCGATTGGTATGACCCACGTTATCTTATAGATCTTAATTACTTCTGATGTTTAACCGACAGAAAACAGCGAAACAAAGGGAGGCAGAGGCTCCTTGTTCCCTCCAGGCTGTTAGGAACTGCCTGGAAAAGTGCTGTAGAGAGAACTGCTTAGAGGAAAAATTATCTAACCTGAGTTCACAGGCTCAGTAGGAGGAGGAAATACTATTTAATCTGAATGTACAGGCTCAGTACGGAGAAGAAATATTTGAGTTTACGGGCACAGGAAGTAGAAGAAAAACTGCATAATCTGAGTTTACAGGCCCAGTAAGTTAAATTTATGGTGGATTTCAGGGTGAACACTGCCTTGGTAAAAGCCAGGATTGAACGCTGGCTTGGTAAAAGCCTGGAGTTTAGGAGTTCAATGTTAAAAGATGGTTTAAGCAGGATGTTTCTAGCCCTCGAGGTTGCACTTGCGATCAGCTTAAAACTACAGAAAGCAGAAAGTAAAATAACCCAGGGGTGATTGAAAACAAATGAGTGAACTGAGTGACCAAAGAACCCGGTGATTACTGAAAATAAACGATGGCACTGAGTGACTGGGGCAGCACTATAAAAGCAGCTGAAATAACCATCTTGTTACCAGGGGGCTCAGGTTTTTTTAACATTCGCCCTTCGATTTCCCATTTTTCTGGATTTCGATTGGGTTTTAGGAACATTTAGGACCGCTGTGGGGCCGTGTTTCGGGGCCGGGGTCGGGCCGAGCTCCGCGACCCCCGAGGGCAGTCCCGGCGGGGCCAGCCCCGTCATGGCGGACGTGGCCCCGCCCCCGCGGTGGGCGTGGCCTGGGCGGGTGCTGAGTCACGCTGGGCCAGCAGAAGCGCGGCGCGGAAGCCCCGCCCCCGGGGGCGTGCCCGGCGCGCGGCGCTACAAAAGGCGCGCCGCGGGGCAGGCGGCCCCCAGAGCGCGTCGGCGGCGGAGCGGAGCGGGTTCCTGCGTCAACAGTGCTTGGACGGAACCGGCCGCGCTCGGGCCCGCCGCGCCCCCTCCCGCGCACGTACAACAGCACCGCCGCACCCACAGGAGCACCCAGCCATGGCAGCGCCCCCCTCTCAGGTGCGCCAGAACTACCACCAGGACTGCGAGGCCGCCGTCAACCGCCAGATCAACCTGGAGCTCTACGCGTCCTACGTGTACCTCAGCATGGTGAGGGACGGGGGTGAGGGGTAGAGGGGCCTGGCGCGGCCGGGAGTTTCGCGGGTGCCGGGCGGTGCCTGCGGGCGCAGCTCCTCCTCTTCCTCCTCCTTCCCCAGCGCCTGCGGGCCGTGCCCTGCGTGTAGGTGAGGCCCTTTATCTCGCTGTTCGCGGGCCCCCTTATCAGCCCAGCGCGGCGCCTCCCTCGGGCTCTGCCCTTGGGGCTGGGCTGGATAGCAGGGCCTGCCCAGCGAGGCGTTTGGCTCCTTTCCCGCGGGCCTGCTCGGCTCCCAGGCACGGTTTTCCTTTCCCCCGTGGATCGGGAGGGATCCGCGGTTTCCTTGGCCCTGTGTGTACTTGTCTCGCTGGGCACGAGGGTCCCGTTTTTAACCACGCCGAGCTGCGGTGGCGTAAGGGGCAGCTCTGACCTCTGTGCAGCTTTGGACGTGCAGGGAACTGGAGACTTTGGGGTGGTATTCCACAATGTCGAGGCGCGTACATCCAGCACTTCGCGGCTGGTTACTGTAAAGGCTTTAACGCTGTTTTGTTCTTGCGTTGGTGGGGGACAGTGGCACACAAAGCACCAGTGCCTTGCTTCGAACGTCCAGTCTGCTGGTTTAGGAGCAGAGAATTCTGTAGCAGTTCGGTAAATAACTGGCGGTTGATACGAAACTTTCCAGTGAATCCTGCTAATGGCCCTGAATGAGGAACAAACAAACTGTGTGATGCTTCTAATTGCTGTTAGAGGGGTTTTTTTTGTCTTTCAAAAAAGTATTCGCTGTTGACCTGACATTTCAGTTCCGTTTATCTTTTGTCTTTAAAATGTGGTACTGATTTTTTTTTTTCTCCAGAAGTAGCAAGTGTACTCCATAGTGTAATCCCCGAAAAGCCTAGGGAGGCATGGGAGCTCTATTACAGAAGTATCTAGAAGTTAGTGGCCACCCTTAGCTGGTGTTGCAGGTGATAACCCTGACTTGTGGTCGTTGTAAACAAGCTCGAACAAAGGGAAAATTTCTCCATGAAGAAGGCTTTTCAGGGCTGCAGTTTAAGGCATTTGAGTGGTGATCAGAACAGGTATCTGTGGGGTATCAGAGTGGTTTGTTTGGTTTTGTTTTTGTTTTTTTATCTTCAGAAATAAACCAAGGGCACAACTACCATTATTTGTGTCCTTGGTAGGGATACAGGTTAAAATTTAATCCTAGTTGGAAAAATGGTAAGGGGAGGGTTGCTCCACACTGCCTTGCTGTGTGTTGGCCTCAGCTTGGACTCGGGCCATCCTGAGGCAGGGCTGAGACACACCTGAAGCCACACTTTGGGTTTGGCTTGGGGTTCTGAGCCTGTGAATCCTTATTTTTCAGTCCTACTACTTTGACCGGGACGATGTGGCTCTGAAGAACTTTGCCAAGTACTTCCTGCATCAGTCCCACGAGGAGCGGGAGCACGCGGAGAAGCTGATGAAGCTGCAGAACCAGAGAGGAGGGCGCATCTTCCTGCAGGACATCAAGGTGAGGAGCAGGCCCTCCTGGCCCAGAACTGCATTTGGGGGCTGGGAGGAGGTGGGCTTCCCTCTGGGTCCTCTCCCAGAAGGAGCAGCAGCTGATGTGTAGTAATTTGATAATTTGTGCTTGATGGACTAAGAAAAAGTACTTTTTTTGTGTAAGAAGAGTGTAATGGTTTGCTGTGGCAGAACAAGAAGGCCGCTGGTTCATCACCATTCAATTTAAAAGCAGAAGTGCTCTGTGCACTGTTTTGAGAAGTGTGAGCGGGGTGTTGCATTCAGTTCTGTTCTGAGAGTGCACATCAAATGTTTGATGTTACCCAAAATGCCTGAACTTGGTCCAGACAAGCTTTGAGGGTGGTCTAAAGGCTTTGCTCCCTGCTGGTCTGCGGGTACTTAGAGAAAACACGGGCTGTGCTTTTCCCTGGCAGAAACCAGACCGTGATGACTGGGAGAATGGCCTGACTGCAATGGAGTGTGCCCTGCACCTGGAGAAGAACGTGAACCAATCACTGCTAGAACTGCACAAATTGGCAACCGAGAAGAACGACCCACACGTAAGTGCAGGCTGAGCCCGAGAATGTGGCTGTTTGAGGAGGGGGCTTGGATGTGCCCAGTTGTGTGGGTTTAGGGCTGAGCTGTGTGCCCTCAATGTTAATAAAGGTGAGAAAAGGTGAACCAGGGGTGCAGCCCTCCAGAGGGAAGGGCCCAGGTGTCAGCCTGTCCTTCAGCCCTTTGGTGAGGTTATTGCTGTCCTTCCAGGATGTTCTTTTATGGTAGCTGAAACTTGCTTTATTTCCTCTGAAGTGTATTAAGCTTTATGGAGACTTGTTTCTGAGGTGGTTGAGTTCTATCTTAAGAGGCTTTATTGCCACAAACTTCTGGTGTCACTTCTGAATGTTAAAAGCCCTGATACTTGATGACAGTGTCTGAAAACACAGGGCTCTTGACAGGTGAAAGTTTTAGGCAAGGCTGGATTGAGGCTGTTTAGTATCAGGAAGAGATTAATGTGTGTGAATCCATGTACTCTTGGGAGTATCATGTGTAAGCTGGGGGGACTTTTTAAAACAAAACAATAAAACTGGCCTGTCTTAGAGGTGTAAATCCTCACAGTTGTGAGTTTGCTGTGTAGTGGGGGAGTCAGAATCTGTTCAGAGAGTTGGCTAATGCTCCCTATAGTGAGGAAGAGGAGAGGCTTCCTGAGCTCTGTGGGGTTCTGGAGCCAGTGTGCCTGTGTCAGCCCTGCCTCACTTTGATCTCCTTCTGGCTTTGCTGAGGCAAAACCTAAAAGCTGTTTCGTCTCAGCTTGCAAGTTGTCATGCTGTACCCTCTCCTTTCTGGGCCTGAGTTTAAACTCTCCTCTCCCTTGCAGCTGTGTGACTTCATTGAGACCCATTACCTGGACGAGCAGGTGAAAGCCATCAAGGAGCTTGGTGACCATGTGACCAACCTGCGGAAGATGGGGGCACCCAAGTACGGCATGGCTGAGTACCTCTTCGACAAGCACACCCTCGGGGAAAGTGACAATGACAGCTGAAGGCTGGCCCAGAGCCACGCTGTGGGTTTCAGTGGGACTCCTACTTACTGTCCAGCCGTGCATGCAGCTTCAGCTACCTAGAGAAACAGTTCCATTCTCTGTACCAAATATCACCCCCCTCTCTCTCGTGTTTTATGTACTGCCCTCCAGCCAATAAAGTGACTTGGTTCCAGCTGGCTTTTCCTGTTTAGTTTTGAGGGAGAGGAGGCAGCTGTAGTTGAAGGGGCTGTGGGAGGTACATTTTGTCATGTGGTGTGGGAGTCTTGCAGCTGGTGCTGAAGGCAGAAGTAGAACTTAAAATATGGTTTCTCTAAATTCCCGTTGCATGGGAACTAAAATGAGGAAATGAAACGATGGTCCTGGGCTTGAGCCTTGCTTTTATTTTCTGAGGGTGGGCAGTAAAGCTCAGCTGAGTGTGGTGTCTGCTACCATCCACGTTTCTCTGAGCACTCAGATCTGTGGCAGGGGTGACAGGGAACTTCAGAAGGAAGCAATGTGGGGGCAGGTACTGCAGCTGCCTGTGCTGGTGCAGACACTTACCCTGCCTTACTCCAGTACTTTCCTTGTACTGGAAAAGAGCCAGACAGCACTGGAAGAAGCACTGTGGGTCTGCATCACTAACAGTGTGACTTGCTTCAGTCCCTTACTTTCCCTGGAGTAGTGCAAGTCCTGTCTGAGACTTGTAAGCTCAAGTTCTACTTCTTGCTGTGAGGAGGGGAGTAAGTATCCATTTTAGCTACGCTCCTGTTCTGGGCTACACCTGGCTGGTGCCTGCTGAGATACCAGCAATACTTAACACTCATTGGGGTCTGGCTAAAAGTTGGGGTCTTGGTGGTTGTGTTGTTACAGCAGAAGTTGAGCCTGCATACGGTACCGACACCAGGAGCAGTGTCCTTAGTGCTGGTTGGAGCCTGGGCCAGGCTCTGGCTGCGTGTCCAGCACTGCCCTTCTGTTCAGGTGAGTGCCAGGTGTGAGGATAAGGAACGTATCCCATGGAACCTTTTCTCCTTTAGCTGTACTGATCCATCTGCTCCTCCCCTGGGCTCTCACTGGCCTCCATGATCACCTCCATCAGCCCCACGAAGTCGCCCTCGGCCAAGGAGATCCCGGAGTCGTTGGGGGATGGGCTCTCTGCTCTTCTCGGCTCTTTTGTAGGGGGTGGGTTAGTGCTTCCATTCCCAGTGTCTCTCGTGTTCCTGGAAACCTCTGGATGCTGGTCTGGAGCGCTGGCTGCGTCTTCCAAGCTCAGGCTGCGAGCATCGGGGCCGAGGTTCCCCTTGTGGGACCTCTCCAGGGCTGGAGAGGTCACGGGAGTGAAGGAGAAGCAGAGGGAGGTGCTGCCCCCGGGGGCTTTGTTACCGGGGGTGTGAAAGGCACCGGAATGCTCCGAGTTGGGAGGAGCTGATGCCGCGTTCTCCAGGGTTAGCCAGGGCGGGTGCGAAGCTTTCAAGCTCTTCGGGCTCTTGTAGCTGCCCTGCTTCTCCTGGTCAGGAGATTCTGCCAGAAAAGGGAATTTGGGGCTGTCAGATGCTGTGGACTGTGCTCCTGGGCTTCCTGTGATGGCAGCTTCTCTGGAGCTGTTCTTTTCCTCCTCCACTGTCACAGCTGTGGAATCGGGCCCTTTGCTCCGATCTGTTGGCCACACGAAGGTTTCCTTTGCAGCTGAGCCCAGGGAGCTCTGGCTCTTGTAGACATCACTGGCCCTGGAAGGGGAGGCGTTGACGATGACATCCCTCAGGGAAGTGGAGCAGGCAGCGATGCTGGAGAGAGCAGGTGGTTTCTTCCGGCCTTGGCGTCTGGAAGGGAAAATCATGGGGATGGAGCTGATGGGTGTCTGGGGAGCGCTGTAGAAACCGGGTCTCTCATAGAAGGGGGTTGACATGAAGGCATCAAACTCCCTGAGTTTCCCATCTTCGCTGTCCCACTGCTCCTGGGAGTCTCCCTTTGGCTGATTGATGCCACAAGGACTTCCTGACTTCCCCATGTCCTGGTAGGTGTAGTGGGAGAAGGGCGATGCGGCGTCTCCTCGCCTGCGCAGCAGGTTCATCCGGGAGGAGGACCTGGAGAAGTTTGGTGACTGGACACCCAGGAGGCGTCCCAGGTGTCCCAGTAATGGGGTGGAGTGGTTGGCCTCCTCGTTCTCCTTGATCTGCTCCAGGGGCTGGAACTCCATCTCTTCTTTCTGCATGCTGGGAAAGGCGAAGCAGGGCTGTTAACGCAGCCACAGAGGGAGGGGGTTTGTGTTGCCACTGCTGCCAGTGGCAGACCTCTCCCTGTACTGCCATTAGATGTGTTAGCCCCCCCAAAGCAGGGATGCTCACAGTACAGGTGAGTGGGGGGAAGAGGCCAGAGTCATCCTTTTCCATGGAGGATGTTGGCTGTTGTCTTTGCATGAGCCTAAAGGGATCTTAGAACAAGGTTTCACAGACTATAGGGAAAGATATTACTACCCACTCTTGCTCCTCAGGTGTAATATCCTACTGAAGACCTAATCCAGGTGTAACTGTGGACTGCTGTGACACCCTGGACTGACCTGATATCAAAAGTGGAGCCAAGGAACGATGGGCGCTTGTACTCGGCGGTGGCTGCTGTGTAGGGTGGCTGGGGATCAGGCTCATTCCAGTAGAGGTCCTTCTCCAGGATGGGTAAATCCTGATGCATCTCATCCACTGCCATGAGGGAGACCTGCAGGAGACAGCAGGAATGTCATCCGAGGTGAGCAGCCTGTTATCTGTGGGTGAAGGATTGCAGGGCAGGGGGAAGCAGTGTAGCACGGAAATGGGGCAAGTGGCTGAGGTTGCTGTGGTTTCCTGTCACTTGGGTTGTTCTTCGTAGAATCACAGAGTGAGAGAATCAGCTGGGTTGGAGAAGACCTCTGAGATCATCAAGTCTAACCCTTGATCCAACCCTGCCGTGGGCAGGGCCCAAAGCCCCACATTCCTTTTCGTGGAGAACAGGGGGGTCTTCCTGGCACGGGTCTTGCCCCACACCTTTCCTGGAGCCTTGGAACTGTGGAGGGACTGTCTCTCCATCCCCTCACAGGCAGGGAGGTGGGGGCAGAGGTTTTGCACTGACAGGGTGGGAGGACCTTCTTCCCTTTACCTGCAGGTTCCTGTCGATGAGCCAGTTGGCTTCAAAGTCATCATCATCCTCCCCAAAAGGGTTGATGAGCTGCTCGGCCACCTGCATGTGGAGAGCACACAGCATAGGTCACCGTGGTCATACCTGCCCCTTTCCCTGCAGGGAGGGGGCCTGTGGGGCAGGGGCAAGCGTGATGTCCCTTGAATTCCTAGAAAGACTGCTCCTCCCAAAAAGGGGAGGGTTAAATTGGAGGCTTGCCAGCGGCTGGGAGATATTGGCACACACAGTAACAACCCTCCTGCAGCCTTCTGCCTCTCTTTTCCCCAAACCAGTCAGGACCAAAGCTTGGGAAAGGTGCAGCTGGGCTCCAGGGTGACACACGCGGAAAATCAGAAGGTCCTGGTAATTCCCTCAGCCTCCCCTTGGCTTCCCGTTGTTGTGCATAGATCAGAGAACACACAGCTGGGTCCCTGGTGAGCTCACTTGGGGAAAAACCCTTGGCAGGGTCAGATTCCAGCTCCAGACGTATTTTCCTGGACTTACCTTTAACCAGCCAGCGTAAAAGAAGAATTGCAAAAATGTAAAGACAGGCACGAAGAGATCCAGTTCATGGCCAGGATATGCTTTTTCTGGATCCAGGAACTGCCTCCCGATCAGACAGGCCAGGAAGAAGCTGTAAACAGCCACGGTCACCACCTGGGAAAGATGCCAAGGGACACACCAGGGGAGTGTGAGTTCCCAGCATCTCCCTTCGCTTCTACCCCACAGCTCTCCAAAGCCAGATCCTGGCTCTGCAGCCTTTGGAAAGCCTTGGATTCACTTCTGACAGGCTGCTGTTTTGTAGGGGGATGCATTCCCACAGCAGGAAGCTTTAAATACTCCCTTTGGCTGTTGCATGCACTGTATGTCATTCCAGGCTGTCCCTGGAAGGAGATCTGTGGAGGTGTCACAGGGCAGGGGCAGAAGGAAGCACATGACATCCTGGATGGACTGAAAGCTGTCTTGTGGCTCAGTCCAGGCTGGCAGGCTGCTTCCAAGTCTGGAAGGGAACCCTGGCAGTCCTATTAGCTCCCTCTTTCCTGTTCCTCCTGCTGAGCCTTTTTTCTATTTGCCTGCTTGCTTGCCTGGATCAGGCTATGCTGAGCTTTGTGCTTTTCTCTATAACCACGGGACTGGAAACTTCCCCTTTTCAAATTAACAGTAACTGAGACTCTCTTGATACAAGCAAGGGGGTTCAAAACAAGAACAAACTTTCCCAAGGTGTTCCCCATTAACCTTCAGCAGCTCCTGTTTCCCAGTGGAGGGCATCAGTGTTATCTGAGAGCTGGATGATAGGAGACAAAGGGGCAAGTCGGTGCCAAAGTGTCTGCCTGGGCTGTTTAAATAGCTGAGGACGTGCACAGAGCTCACTCACACGTGTGGCACACCTCCCCTGGAGCTCCCTGCCTGGAATGTGTGCCCTGCAAACTGGCAGATGTGGAGCACTCTTCTACAGGTCGTTCAGCCCAGAGAGGAGAAGGTTTTGGGGAGACTGAGGGAGCTCAGAGAAAAGAGGGAGAAGGGACTTTTTATACACACAGTGGCAGAACAAGGGGCAAAGGTTTTAAACTGACAGAGGGCAGGTTTAGATTGGATGTTGGGTAGAAATTCTTTACTCAGAGGGTGCCCGTGGCAGGGGAGTGAAACTTCACAAGATGAACTTTAAGGTCTCTTCTGATGCAAACCATCCCAGGATTCTAGGTAAGGGTGTAAAGTGGGATGTGCAGAGGAGGTGCTGGAGCAGAAGGTGTGGGGATCCCTCCTCACCTGGGTGTAGACCAGGGGGATGCTGATCCAGTCGTACCCATAGAGCCTCCCGCACTGGCTGCGCAGGGTGTTGAGCTCCTGCAGTGGGGAAAAGGAATGGCCCATCAAAATAACTCTGCATCTTCTTCCTGAGGACACAGAGCCTCCCTGGAGCCACTGTCCCTCGTTGCTCCAGCCCATTCCCTCCTGCTTGCACCTCCTCTGGAAGGGAGGCTCAGCCAGGACTCCTGTTCCCGTGGTGCTCAGCTCTAGCCCAGCAGAGCCCCAGCAGGATCTCACACGCCCCTGGAGGAACTCCTTGCTGCCTGGGTGTCTCCATCTGAGCCCAAGATCCCTCCCTAACTCACTTCCTAGCAGTTTATCTCCTCACAAAATGAGCAACCAACAGGTGAGGCAAAAGGATGTCTCAGGCACATCCATCTCTTTTCTCCTGCCTATAGGTAAGTATACCAGAGGGAGATCTCTCTCTCTGGGCAGATGAATCCCACTCCAGGCAACAGAAACCACGTGACTTCCTCTGCACATGAATACCAAGAAGGATGAGCTGTTCCAGAGCCTTTTTCTGTGCAGCTGGGCAGGGATTGTTGCCAGCTCTTGCCTGTGGAGTGTGGCCTGCTGCCCAAGACTATCAAAGAGCTTTCGATAACAAGGTTTTCTACAGGACCTTCATTGTTGGGGATTTTTTTTTTGACCTCTCCTGGTCTCTTCCAGATACCTTTGTGGCTTTCTTGTGGCTTTCCAGCTGTGTAGTCCTAGAGGTCTCCACTGGCCACTGCTGTTGGCTGCCCTGGAGTGTGGCAAAGCTGATCAGGGACCTGCTACTTGGATACCTCCCATTTCCACACCTGAAGGTGAGTCCAGTGGTTCCTCCTAGTCCCACATTTGGGAAAGAGGTCACATTGCCCTCTCCTCAAATATATGTGGCAGTGCTGCCACGTCAGCAGGCCATGGAAAGCTCTGGAGTGTGGTACTGGGAGCATTGCCCACCAAAGTGAATGGAACATCCCCAGGGATCCCCAGGATCTCCCACAGTTGCCTGTTGCCTCTGTCACTCACATTCAGGATTCCTTGGAGCAGCACACTGTCCCGGATCCTCCCGTCATTCCTTGCCTTCACAGCCAGGTTGGAGAACCACACACATGGGATCCAAAACTTGTTGTGGGGGGAATTCAAGCTCTCAAACTTCTTGTGCTCTTCTGGTGTCATGAGGCCTGTGTGGAAGACAGCAAATGGAAGAGGGATGGCCACAGAGGGCAGAAAGGAATTGATCTGGTCTAAAATGAAAACATTTGAATCTCAGGTGGTGGCCTCAGCTCTCCTTAAAAACCATGGGAAAGACTCAGGTGCTCAGAACTTCGGGAGACATGCGGCGGGAGGACAAGCCTCGTTGTTAAAATTTTGAGTCACGGGCTTGAGAGGTGGGATTTATGGGATTTCCCTTTGGCTGTCTGCAGCACATCTGATCAGATCACAGTACTGCTGAGGGTACCACAGCTATTTGTTTGGAATGGCATAACACGGGACTTAGAGTGCCTGTTTCTCTGTCTGGATCACAAAGGGAACCCAGATGATGGGGGCAGGTGCAGAGCTCTCCCTTTGGGCAGGCTGGGACACGTTGTACCTCGAGGAGCATCCTTCCCAAGAGGATTCAGGGAGCCCAGCAGCCAAGTTTGGAGATCGGAGGCTCCGATTCCCACCCGGCAGCGGAAAACTGTCGCCTGCTGCAGGCATCACTTCAGCAGACTGCAGCACCGCCCCACCTCCCACCTGAAGGTCGGGAGGCCTTTCCCAAAGCTCTCTGCCCCAGAAACAGCAGCCAGGTGGGTCTGCCGGGACTGACCCGCCCTCACGACGTGCTCCATGCTGGGGAAGCGCTTGTAGACGGCGGTGCTGACGGAGCGCAGGATCAGCACGCTGACCAGGTTGCTGTAGCGCATCAGGGTGCGCCTCAGCAGCCGCCCGTACTCGTCCTCCCCGTCCACGTTGCAGGACACCAGCGTCATGATGCGGTCGGGCCACGGGATGCTCTCGTACTGAGCCCACCAGCGCGACACCACCAGCGCCACGTAGAAACCTGCAGGGCGGCTGAGCAGATTAGGCATCCCAGAGGGGCAGGAGAAGGAAGGAGTAGGAAGCTCTAGAAACCTGCAGGGCGGCTGAGCAGATGAGGCATCCCAGAGGGGCGGGAGAAGGAAGGAGTAGGAAGCTCTAGAAACCTGCAGGGCGGCTGAGCAGATTAGGCATCCCAGAGGGGCGGGAGAAGGAAGGAGTAGGAAGCTCTAGAAACCTGCAGGGCGGCTGAGCATGTTAGGCATCCCAGAGGAGGAAGCTCTGCTCTTCTCCTCTGCTTCACTTCCAGTGTTCGTACAGGGACGGGTGCAGGAATAACCGGAGGGGAATTCAGACCTTCAGGCTAAAATGAGTCTAGGTTTTGTGGTTTGTTTGATAGAATCACAGAATTGTTTGGGTTGGAAGAGACCTTAAAGATCATCTCGTTCCATGGGCAGGGACACCTTCCAGTGAACCAGGTTGCTCAGAGCTCTATCCAGCCTGGCTTTGAATGCTTCCAGGGATGGGACAGCCACAGCTTCTCTGGGCAACCTGTGCCAGGGCCTCCCCACCCTCCCAGGGAAGAGTGTTTTCCTAAACAACAAAGAATTTCCTCCTAAAGAAATTTACAACCTCTCTCAAACCAGGAAGAAGCAGTGCTGTCCCGTTCCCCTCCCTGTGTGATGTCAGGCAGAGCTCCTTACCCAGCACGAAGGACACAGGGATTAGCTCAGCATAACTGTTGCAGTACAGCGCCAGCTTCTCGAACATCAGCCTTTGGCTCTCGCTCAGGATCAGCCTAAAAGGCACAAACAGAAGCAGCAGCCTCAGAGAAGAGTCTGGGCCTTGTCTGGGGTGAGTCTGGGAGGGGAAGCCAAGGACAGGGAGTCTGTGGGTGAACAGCTCTCATGAGCCTGGGACATCAGCCCACATCCCCAGAATACCCTACTGCCCAGTCCAGAGGCCACAGAACATGTGGTAAGTAATGCAGCCTGATGCCAGGGACCACCTTTATTTTTCTCACTCAGGAGGACAATGTGTGGTACCAAGGGTTTGATACAGAGCTTGGATGTGCACTGCAGCTCACTGAATATCCTGCAAAATGTCAGTCCCAAGCTGTGCTCTCCCTTGAGTTCCTGCCTCTTAAAGTTGCTTCCTTTCCTTCCCCTGCCCCCCTTTCCCCTTTCTTTCAGCTTTCTTTTCCTCCTCCACTTTTTCCTCTCCTCCCTCCCCTCCTGCAGAGGCTGGGGAGTGTCTGTCCAGCATCCCTGTCCCAGTCCCACGTTTCTCCGCTGTCCTGATCCAGGACAGGCTGTGCTGGTGTCAGGGTGTGAAGTGCTCACCTGTAGATGAGGCTGATGGTGAAGTAGAGCAAGATGAAAATCAGGAACTCTGAGTAGAGCAGTTTGTAGATACTCCCTTTCCACTGGAGCAGGAGCTGGGAGAAGGTGCCCAGGCGGGCGTCGGCCACGCGGTTGGTGTAAGTCACGGTCATCACAGCTCCTGGGGCACACACAGCGGGAGGAGCTGGAGCTGGAACAGAGGGAGGAGACAAGCAAGATGAAAGGCAAGAGGAGAAAGACAGCGAGAAACAGCTGGGATCCAAAGCCAGGTAAGGTGAAGTCAGTGACACAGAGAACCAGGAGGAAATCCGTGGTAAGCAATTAATTTGCCATCTTTCCCCTGTCCTCGAGCTGCACGTGAGCTGGTTACAGTGACAGAGGATGTATTTTCTGGTGGAGCCCTGGATTTCTAATGCTTGATTGTCAGCATTCAAGTGGGGCTGGTTGGCTGGAGAGGACAGAGCCCATCTGCCACCCCCTTCCCACAAAACACTGGTGTAAGGTTTTAGTCTCAGGGTCACAAACTCCAAAGTTGCTTATCCCATTTTTGTTTGTTTTTTTATACTATTTGTTTTAGATATGTTTCTGTAAAATGACAAGCATCTTCCTGGAACGCTGCTGGCAAAAAAAAATGCAACCCAAAGGAGAGCAAAAACCCCAGAAAGTCGAGATTTCTTAGGACTGATCCAGGTGAAGGCACCCAACAAGAATTGCTGTCTTTAAATTTGGGTTGAGGGCTGTATCTGGACTTTGCTGGTCCCAGTCCTGCAGGCAGAACAGCCCTCCCTGTTAGAGATCTGCGGGATGGAGTTTGGCCAGGCTCACAGAGCCCGAATTCCAGCAGCTCCACCTCCCCTCTCCTTCCACCATATGTTGCACAATAAATCACACTGGATGAAAAAAGGCATTCAGGCTCCTGAAATGCTTCCCAGTCATGCAGCATCCTCGTTGCAATTCTAGTCTAGCATGGATAAATATTTCTTTATCATCAATTAATAATCAGACCCACTTTCATATAAATCTGAATTTGTAAAAAACCCCAAAACAAACAAACAAACAAAAAACACCAAGAAAAAAACCACCAACCCCAAAACACTGGTGTAATCCATGCCAGGCAGATTGGTGAATGATCACTTGGTTTATCAATAATTATCCAGTGTGAAACTACTGGTATTTCTAAATCTTAACATGTCACCAGGGTGTTACTTAGGCATTGCTATTTAACAGAGGTAACAACGTTAGGAACTATGGGGCCTTGGGCTCTCCCCTGAACGATGGAGACAAAGAAGCACTTCAAGGGACAATTCACACCTTGCAGCACCTGAAGGCAGATAAGTTTGTGCCCCTGTTCCTTATTTAAACACCTCAGTTAAAAATCTGCACCTGGGTGGGGACAAGTGTAGTTCCAGTGAACTGCTGCTGTGAAGAAAAACAGCAAAGTCTGGGCTTCTTGGCTACTTCAGCCAAACAATATCTTTTTCCTGGCTTTGGCTTTTTGGTGCTGCTCCTCCTTTGGGTTTCCCTGCGGTAACTCAGGTCCCTGAGTCCCCTCTCGTGGGTTATGTGGAGGAGCAGAGCTGGTCCCTGTCCCCAGCTGCACAAATGCACATTTCCCTAAATCCTCGTGCACATCTGTGCCATTCCCATATGGATTTCTGTGCACAGGACTTGGAAGAGTGGGCTCTAACTGCCCCAGGGACTACACACATGGGCTGTATGGAAAAGAAACGTATGCCCATAAACCCATAAATTTTGGGGGGCTGCTTACACAAAGCTGTCTGTTTTCTCTATGCTTTGGGTCTTGAGAGAGCCCAGGGAGAGTTTTTGTTGCGTAATTCAGATACACAGTCACTTTTTACCAAAGAAGGAAAACTTCAGCTCTTGTCCGTGTAAATAATGGATGTCACCCACCTCTGTGCAGCTCTGCTCCCGCATGGGATATGTTTTTTCTCCCCAGTGCTTTTCCCTCCGGCCCAGAATGGTTAAGGCACTTCCCTGCCCACCTGCTGGCCTCAGTGGGACTGCCCAGGGATGTCACTGGGCAGCTGGCATGCTCCAAGTACCATTTGGGGTTGAGGTGGGAGGTGACTCACTGACACACCGGGGTCGCTATGGGGAGGAAGAGCCATCCCCTGCATGGCACTGCTGCCTGCATCCACCTGCCTCATCCCTCCGGACCAGCCATTGCACCTGGAGCTCCACTGCCACTAACCAGAGCGTGGGAACCCACGGCAACCGGGATCCTGCAGCGTCAGGTGCATCACCCACCACGTGAGACGGCAAAGAGACACGAGCAGGTACCCCAGAGCCGGAGAGCAAGGGGACAGAGCAGAGGGGTGAAGCGAGAGGAGGTGGCAGGAAGGCAGGAAGGTCTCAGGAGGGATCTCCCTGCACTCAGGAGGACGGGGTACTCACAGTGCTGGGCTCCTCTGCCGCGCTGGAGGCTGTGCAGGTTTGGTGCCGCACGTGTGCCCGCTGGGTCCTTTGTGGCCCACGCCTCGCCCGCCTCCCCGTGCCCCCTTGGCTCATGGGGGGATTGAACCTGCCCGACACGGTGTGCTAAGGAGCCTGAGACCCACTTGGGAGCTGCAGCCGGTCACTTGATGCCGTAATCCTCCCTCATTACAAAAGAGACTCTGTTGTCTTTTGCCCTGTTCCCTCCTAATCTTCTGAGTAAGCCCTGCGTGTTTATAGAGGCGGCCGGAGGAGGGGGAGGCAGGGCTGGCTGCTCCGCTGCTGCTAACTCCTGGCACAGCCATGGTGGCTGCCAGGAGAGAGGCATTTTTCCTCTAATTCTTTCCTGTTTGGTCCCTTTCTCCGTGTCACAATCTTACAGGAACCCCAGGAGGTTATGCAGGGCTGGAATTTTCCACAAAGGCTGCAAAATGTGTCGTGCCCGGGGGGCTGCACAGCCCTCTCTTCCCTGGGGAAGCTCCTTAGGTGGGTGAAACACCTGGTCCACGCTCTGCATGGCTCTCACAGGATGTTTCCCTGTCATTCCTCACTGTCCCTGGATGAGTTTGCCACCTCTTCCAGCCGTGGTTTGGGTGCTGGGGACTTCCACTCTGCCACTGGCTCCATGAGACTCTTTCCATGGGTTCCCTTTTTCTTCCTCTAGCTTCTTCCTGCAGTGCTTTTGGGACTCGCTGCTCTTTCCTGCCTGACATCCTGGGAAACACTGGTCCTTGCCTTTGTCCTAAAATCTCCACCAAGCCAGAGAACTCCTTCCCTCTGTCTCTCCAGGTCCGTTTTCTGCTCCCAAGTCATCCCTCCCAATTGTGACCATCCTTCTCATCCACCACCTCCACAATCCCCCCTGTCAGGTGTTTAAGATGTTCCCCTTTCACGGGGCTCTGACTGAAAATCCTTTCTTTCTGGTTAGTCTTCCATCATTTACCCAGCTGTGGGATGCTGTGGAGAGGGAGCACAGGTCTGATCCATGCAGGTAAGAGTAACTCCTGTAAAAATCAACTTGCTCTTGTGCTGGTTGCATGCCCGTGCCTTTGACACTCGTTTAACATCAGCACTTGGGATCAATTTGTCCCAAATGTAGTTTTGTCCTTCCTGTGGCTGATCCTAGACAAGGGGAGGGTGTTGTTGGGAGTGGTTTGGGTGCTCCTGGGGCATGAAACAAACAACCCCGGAGTGTCCTGCTGTTTGTGGAAGGATGTGCTGGCATCTGGGGGACTCTGCTGCCCTCCTCTGAGAGCAGCTCAGCTGGCAGCTCGTGTGCTTCACAGCTGCTGCTGGGACAGCATGAAATATGCGTGGAATTTAATATTAAAGTAAATAACTGAGGGGCTATCAGCATGGCAGCCCTGCTTGGATCTCTTTTCACATCCCCCGTGGCCTCAGGCCCTGCAGGTCTTGAAGATTCCTTGCGCAGAAGCAGAGGAGGATGCAAGGAGGTCTGATATCCCTCCTCAGCCTCACAGCCTTGGGATCATCCTCATTTTCTCAGTGTTACAGACGCAGAAATTGAATTACTGTGGTGGGAATTGAATCCCTGTTTTGGGAATGCCAGAGGGCCACTCTCCATGCTGAGTTAGCAGCAGCTGTCTGGGAATGGCATGGTGCCCTCCTTGCTGTCTCCCAGAGAATAGTAAGTGTTTTTTGGGACAGTGGGTCCCAAAGCTTGGTGAAATCCCTTCACCTTCTCCAGTTTCAGTGGTAAGATAGACATGGCAGCTGGCATCAGGGTGTCTCAAAATGGCATTCTTCCGTGGAATCTGATGTAATTTAAAAAAATCCAGATTAGGTGGGAAGTATCTGAGGAGGTGCTGTTTTGCAAGGACAGGATTTACCCACAGGTTTGAGCTGGTCGGGAATGTTTGAGGAGGATGCAGTGACACTCAGTGCTTTTGTGAGGCCCCCCCCAGGCTTCTTCCCCTTATGCTTCAGAATTCCTCACTAATTCTGTGCCATCCTGGGTGGCCCTGAGAGCTGTGGGTGCCAAGCTCTCCCTCAGACCCAAGTGCTAATCTCCATCTGACCCTCTGCATTTTATTTTTAGGGACTTGGAGGGTGACAAATCTGCCTCTCTGTTGTTGCACAGTTCAGTTTGCACAGCATGAAAAGGATGGAAAGGTCCTTAGCAAGATCACCCCTCTCTTGCCTTCTTTTGCCTTAGGTTCTGTAGTGGGGATTGGGCTCCAAAGGGAGGACCAAACTTTTTGGTCCTGAAAATCAGGGATCTTAGAGCCAGAAATCCCGGAAAGCCCTTGCTGAATGCCTTGCAACCAGCTGAGCAAACATCAACACAGTGTCCAAGCCAGCAAGGAGGGGCTGGAGGGAGCCTGGAGTTTGAGGCCATTTGTTTTCATTCTCCTTTTCATGGCAATAACATCCGGTTTGGGTTTGCTGGGTCTGGGGTGTAGTCCTGCTTTCCAAGCTCTAAAATAATCCCTGTTCCTCCTCCTCTTCCCAGCCTGCATCTGGTTTTCCCCTTTCCTTCTGGGAAGAAGAGGGGAGCACGTGCCACTCTCCCCCTGTGCAAAGTTAACTTCTGCAAGTGGCTGGGATTCAGCATCTCCAGCACATCCCCTCTTAATGCTTCCTGCCTGCACGATCAGTTCTCATCCTTCCTGCCTTTGTCGACTCCTAGAATCAGTTCTACCCTTCTAATCTGAGGACCCTCTGGCCCTACCAGCCAAGCCTTGGCAGTTAATAATTACAAAGACTAATTACTTGTGGCGCTGCCTTGGAAAGCTGAAGATCTTTCCCCTCCTCCCAGAAGCTCCCTGAAGATAACAAAGGTTACAGCCAGCGACACAAACAGACACAAATGTACCGAACGCTCCGTTCCCAGACTCCAGAGCATGAGGTTGGCCTGTGCTGTCACCGTGGATCCCGGCCATGAGGCAGGGCAGGGCTGCAAATGACAGGGACACCCAGGAGATGCTGGGACAGAGAAGCGCTCCCTGGGTGGTATCCACAGCAGCATTCTGTGATGGATACAAGGACCACCACGTCCGGCTCGCCAGCCTTTGGCCTGGGGTCTGGCAGTGAGGCAGAGGATGGGCAAGCGGAGAGCGAGGCAGGAGCGTGTGGAGGCTCGGAGGGGATATGGCTGCCTGGAGGGAAGCCCTGGGCAATGGCAAGGTAGGATGTGATGGGAAATGTTGGGAAGGATCGATGTGGAAAACATCCTCTTAGGGTGGCCTGCAAGGGCAGGGGCGTTTTTTGGTTCAGTGGAGTCACTCACCAAAATTTCAGTGCTGTCAATTCAGAGGTGAGTGTGGGATTTGCTGTTGGGACTGGGGTAACAGCAGGAGTGGTTTGTCTGTTTTGTTCCCAGCCCTGTGCTCTTCTTGAGTGCCAAGTTTAAAAACCCTGGACAATCAGTGGCCTTTCTGCCCCCCCGCCAGGTTTCCCCCATCCTTTCACCTTCCTGCACATCCCTTCTTTACATCCCAGACTTCCTCAGTGTATTGGGGTTTTGGGGCACAGTTTTGGTAGGGGGGGGCTACAGGGGTGGCTTCTGTGAGAAGCTGCTGGAAGCTTTCCTATATCCAATGGAGCCGTTCCCAGCTGGCTCCAAGACGTGTGCCACTGGCCAAGCCTGAGCCCACCAGCGACAGCGGGAGCACCTCTGGTACAATATATTTAAGAACGGGGGAAAAAGCGATTGCACGGGAGCAACTGCAGCCAGAGGTGGTCCCCGTGGAAGGATCCCACTCCGGATCAGCCCGGCTCTAAGGGACTGCACCTCGGGGAAGTGATACACGCGGGAGCACTTAGTGAATAACTCAGGTGAAGTCCACGGAGGACTGTGTCCCCCGGGAGGGACCCCACGCTGGAGCAGGGGAAGGGTGTGAGAAATCCTTCTGAGGAAGAAGGAGCAGCAGAGACCCGACCGCAGCCCTGCGTGGAAGGAGGCAGAGGAAACCAGGCGCGCATCTGAGCCGGGAAAGAGGAGAGGAGCAAAGGGACGGTTGTTTTAAGATTTATTTTTCGCTTCCCGCTGCCCCGCACTGATGCGATGGGTAACACACTACGCTGATTCCCGCAATTCCAGCCCGGTGTGTGCCGAGCGTCCCCTCCAGGGCCCCGGCGGGCTCAGAGCGCAGCCGCGCCGGCATCACGGGGCGGTGCTGGGGCTGCGGCTCCTCCGGGATCCGCTCCGGGAGCGGCTCCGCTTCCAGCTCCGCTTCCTCCGGGAACCGCTCCGGGAACGGCGTCGCTTCCTCCGGGATCCGCTCCGCTTCCAGCTCGGCTTCCTCCGGGAGCCGCTCCGGGAACGGCTCCCCATCCTTCGGGAACCGCTCCGGCTCTTCATCCGGCTCCTCCGGGCACGGCTCCCGCTCCGGCTGCGGCTCCTCCGGGCATGGGGGGCGCGGCGGGCGCTCCTCCGCCCTGAGCAGCATCGGGGACCCAGCGATGTTGCGGGGGTAGGTGCGGGGGAAGGGGGGGAATTGGGACTTCTTGGGCTGTCTGTGCCCCTCGGGCTTCCACGGGATGTGGTTGTTTCGGTGCTCGCACCTCGTGTGTCCCTGCAGCCCGGAGCCCCCCGGCTCCGCCAGCGCTCCCGGCGCTGCGAGTGTTTCGTGGGATTCATAGAGTCCCCAGATGGTTTGGGTTGGAAAGGATATTAAAGACTGATCTAGTCCAAGCCCTTGCCACGGGCAGGGACACCTTCCACTAGACCGGGTTGCTCCAAGCCCCGTCCAACCTGGCTTTGGACACTTCCAGGGATGGGGCAGCCACAGTTTCTTTGGGCAGCCTGTGGAAAGAGTTGTGTGGAAGCCAACTAAGGAGGTGGAATGAGGAGACGTGGTGGGGCACCGGCACTCCCAGACATAAGACACAGCAGGGTCGTTGCTGAGGCAAAGATAAGAAACGCCAGTTGTGTGTTCTGTGTAATATACTAATGTAATGAAACATGACCAGATGCTTTGCCGAAGCTTTTGAGGGATGATACTGAGCATCCACGGGCTCTGGACCAGCCCGTGGTGGTGAACACGGTGCCAGTCAGGCGTCTGTCCCGGTGGGATGGAAAAGTCGGGTCCTCCTCCCAAGCCCGCGGGTAGGAATTTAACCTGGAGGGAGCCAGAGGCTTGCTCGTACGGGAAATAACTGTGTCGGATCAGCAGTGCAGGAAACATGTGGGGCCCGCTGGAAAAAGTGCAGATCTTGCACTTTTTTTTTTTTTTTTGCTTTTTCTACAGAAACCAATTTTAGAAGGTTGTGGGGTGTTGGGGATTTTTTTTTCCCGTGTAAGTTTGCACTTCTTGTGTCAGTGTGGGACTTACACGATATGATCCATTTTTCCAAGAAAGATGCCTACGAGTCAGCAAGAGAGTGAGTGTATGTGGTGGTCCTTTGGTCTCTGGGGACTGGATTTCAGAGCTGGACAATGGAGATCCAGCATAGCCAAGGCTTCCGTGAGGATTCTGTTAGCACAGTGTGGAGAATGAGCTATTCCATCACAGATGATTTTTCAGGATATGTATTTTGGCATTACAGGGTGTGGGTGGGACTGTTTCATTCCTCCATATCTTCCAGTTTTCTTCTGCAGTGTGTGGAAATGTACTGAAATATCTGTTTCCCAAGGAAACTTTCACGTGAGAGTTTGAGGGTCATAAAGAACAACATTGTTTTTTTCTTCCTGTGGGTTAGATTGACTGCCTGAGTAGTTCAGTGGACTGTTGAAATGTCCTTTTCTCTGCTGCCTCTGTATTATTTTTTTAGTAGCTGCTTGCTTCTGAATCTTGCTTTTCCTCTGTGCTCTGATTTTTGTGCTGTGCTCAGAGAAGCTGGGGGTTCTGGGACTGACTGGGTCCATTCTGCTGTTTCCCTCTTTGGAAAATGACTGTGGGCAGCTGTTGCTCACAGACAGTTTTGGGGTGGGGACAGGCAGGGAGAAATCTGAGTAGAAAAGGTGGTGGGACACTGAGGCTGGGTGAAAAGGATAGTTTGGCCTCACGGTTTGACTGCTTTCTGTGTTAGAGAGAGAACAAGGCTATTTTTGAGGAGATAAGCCCAGCCTGTGCTCTGTTGAGCAGTACTGGGCTGGAGTAGGATCAGGGGGAAGAGTGTGTGCTGGCTGGAATGCAGGAGGAAGGGCAAGTTCAGGAGAGGAAAGCAGGTTAGGAAAAGGGAATAAGAGAAAGTGAACCAAACCAAAGGAGGTGGTGGGTACTCTGAAGGAGAAGGCAGCGGGCAAGGAGCAGTAGGAGTGTGGGAGGAGGGCTTGGGCACCAGAGCTCAGCCAAGGCTTGTGACCCAGAGATAACCAGCAGCAGGTTAATCTGCAGGGCAGTGTGTGTGTCCTGCTGGGTGGCTGGGCACGATAGAAAACTCCCACATGTGCAAGGCTTGGACACGCTCCCATTGCCTTCAAACGGCAAGCAAAGCACGTGAGGGCACTTTGACGTGCAAAGAAAGGGAGATGCTCACCTCAGGGTGACTGCAGTGCCCTGTCATGTGGGCACTGATGAGGTTGTCCTTTCCTAAAACCCCAGCAAAGCCAGCTAAATCCATCAGGCTCTCCAGCATCTGTGTTCATTTGGGAGTTGCCAGAGAACAGTGGGGAACAGTGTCCTGGCTGGCTCTTCTGGTTTTTTCCTTCTAGTACATCTCCACTCGCCAGCCACTGAAACTAAAATACAGGGTTTCAGACTGCTGGAAATACACCGGTTTAGGCGGCTCTGTGGAGGATTTTGGTGGGAAGTAGGTTAAAAATAAATCCTTATTCTCTGAAGCAGGGGCAGGGGAAGGCTGGGTTGGCAGCAGAGGGGATTAGGGTCTGTGCATGGGAATGGGAGAGCTGTGTTCCTTTTTTTTTTCCTACTTCCCTTCATCTGGGGAAGCAGTGTCTGAACTTAGGTCTGCTGGGTGAGTACCAGAGTCCTAAACAAGGCAGCTGCAGAGTGTTTCTCTTGGAATCCAGGTGGGAACAGGATCCCTGGAGCAGCTGTCTTTAGTTCTCCTGCTTCATCCTGAGTGTCCTCTCTGGGACACACTGGTTGAGAAGTTTCTCTGTGCTGTCACCCCACAGCCAGGTCAGTTTTGAGGAAGAGAGCCAGAAGCAACCTGTTGTGGGGCACTGGAAGCCACTGATGCCATCCAAAGGCAGCAAGGAGGAGCTGGAGCCGGGGTGCCAGGATGCTGGAGGTGTGGGTGAGGCCCCGTGCCCCGAGCAGCTCGATGTGTCGCGCCTGCGCAGCTCCTCGGTGGAGATCCGAGAGAAGGGCTCTGAGTTCCTGAGGGATGAGCTGCACAAAGCACAGAAGGTAAAGGGAGAACACCTGGGGATGGCAGCACAGATTGGAGCAGTGAAGGTTTTCCTAGAGGTGTTTTAGGAGCCTGGAGCAGACAGAAGAGGAGAGAGACTGAGTTGAGGTGGCCATGAAGTGCTTTGGAGCAGGACAGCGGTTGCTGGATGTGCCAATATCCAAATTAATCCTGGAAACCTACTGCAGGAAGCAGCTGGAGGCAGTGCTTAACTGGGAGCCTCCTTGCTAATGACAAATGAGCTGTTCTAGCCTGAAAATCCTGCTACGACTTGTGGAGGGGGGATGCCTTTGGGGACAGGGAGTGTGGCACAGAGTTTAGTGACAGGAATCTGGGATCAGGGAATCTGTGCCATGGTGGGGAGGAAGGGTTGTGATTGACAGGGCAGGGCATCAGCACTCCTGGGACTCGCTGTGGCCTGATGTGTCCTCCTCCATTTCCTCAACAGGAGCTGAAACTAAAGGACAAAGAATGTGAGAGATTGTCAAAAGTCAGGGAACAACTGGAGCAGGAGCTGGAGGAGTTAACAGCTAGCCTGTTTGAGGTACCACCCTCTTCCTTTTCTCACCCTGAGCTTGCATCCAGCCCCTTTAAGACAGGCTTTCCCTGAACTTCCAGCCGTCTCCTCCCACAGTTTCTTCCTTTCCCCTGTTCTTTGCCGCTTGGAGAAACAGAGCTGGGCAGTGCTGCAGGCACAGCCTCAGAACAGGCTCCTGGGCAGTGTTTACAAGCATTTCTTGCCCCTTGGGGCAGCTGTGCGGTGGCCTAAAGAGCACAGTGGTTTTGGTGACAAAACCAGCTGTGGGGGTGCCTGGAGCTGGAGCCAGGCACAGTCCCTGCCCCTCTGCATGTCCCTCTCTGTACCTGCTCTGGAACAGAGATGGTTCCCTGGCTGGCCTCAGCCCTTGCTGGGGGTGGGAACGTGCTGGATGTCCTGACACACTCTGCTCCAGTGAGTGTCCAGGAGGTCTGTCAGTTGTGGTGGGTTTTGTGGTTGTTTTTTTTTTTTGTAATGTGATTCTTGCCAAGCTCTATCCTGGCAAAATCCCATTTACCAGCAGCTCTAATGTCTGGATCTGTCTGGATAGTGAAGAAAGCCAGAGCCCATCTGTACCTTTGAAACACAGGGATATAAGAGCCAAGAGAGCAACCCCCTCCTGAAATTCTGGCTGCCTGGGCTCAGGGTGATCTTGGAAATAATAAAGCCAAGGGCTGTTCCCTTCCTTTGGTGGCCTTGGCCAGACTCTGCTTCCAGACAGCGCTGCAGGGAGGCCCCAGATGGGATTCATCCCACTTCCCTCTCTCTGTGGGAGAGCCTTTTAAGCCACTTTCTACCATTTGGCCCCCACCTGAGCTCCAGCTCCTGCTGTGTCCCAGCCGTGCCTGGAGCAGCGAGGACTGGCTGCTCCACAAGTGAAGTGGGAGCAAAGTACAGGAACACGCCAGGCAGGAGCAGTGACCTCACCAAGATGTGGAGAAGCAGATCTGGATCAGGATCAGTGCCACAGACAGCAGGGCAGGGGCAGAAATTGGTTTAGTGATCAGCCAGCAGGGCTGAAGTGACAGGGCTCAAGCCAGGAAGCCAAGCTGAGGGGGGGCTGGAGTCACAGATGTTGGAATAGGGGCACCCACAGCAACACAGCTGGGTGTTCACATTAAAGCCTCAGCTTTAAGCAACTCCCAAGGGCAAGGAAGGGCAGGCCCTTGCTTCTGGCATTCTTCAAGCAGCCCCTATCAGCGAGAGAGATGACCTTGGACTAGCCAGCTAAGTGCTTTAGTTTAACTAATCACACTCCTTAGCAGGGGATGCACTCCTGGCTCTGGGACTGGGGGCCTTCTCCAGGAAATTCTGGGGGAAGACACTTCACAGCTGACAGAACAAACCCCTTGGATGTGGCAGGGATGTCTGTCACTATTGCTTGCTTGCCTGTATCACGTGATGTGGCATAGCTGTGACCTGCCTTGGTGGCTCTGTGTAACAAGCAGACTCAAATTCTCTCTGGTGCAGGAAGCCCACAAGATGGTGAGAGAAGCCAACACTAAACAGGCTGCAGCAGAGAAACAGCTGAGGGAAGCCCGGGGCAAGGTGAGAACTGCTCTCTGTGACTTGTTTTTGGGGTAGCCTGGTGGCATCACTGCCCATACTGGCCACAGTGCTGCTTGTTGGCTGGAAGAGAGTAAATGCTTGCATTTGCTTTTCTCCCTTTGCAGCAGACGCTGGAAAGGGACCAGAGTGGGGGGAAAGAGGGACCATTGCAGTCTGTTCCTGATCCAGCTCCTCTTTGGGAAATGGATGCCAGGGAAACCAGAGGGAACTGATAAGCTGTTTAATTGTCACAACTGTGGGAATGGATAGAACAGGGACCTGAGGCACTGGAATTTCCTGGCAGGGCTGAATCACAAGATTGCTCAACTCAAAGAGAGAAATTCCTTTGGGGTTATTTGGTCTGAAAAGAGCCTGGGGCAAAATGTGCTGACTGAAGGGGCAGAGGGATGGGATCCCAGATAGCTGCTGTAGGTTTAAAATTCTGGGTGGTGCTGGGCACTGGGAGGGATGGGGAGAGGCTTCATGGCCGGGCTTGCAGCTGGTTCCCCGTGGCTCCAGTGTGTGCTGGGATGCAGCAAACCTGAGCTCAGCAGGTGCTGACTGTCCCTGGTCTCCTCAGATCGACATGCTGCAGGCGGAGGTGACGGCCCTGAAGACGCTGGTGATCACATCCACGCCTTCCTCCCCCAACCGGGAGCTGCACCCTCAGCTCCAGAGCCCTTCCAAGGCCGGCTTCAGGAAGGGCCACGGGCGAAACAAAAGCACCAGCAGTGCCGTGGTGTCAGCTGCCAGCCAGAACGTGGCTCCAGAGCCGGTCAGCCGGGAGTGCAGAGAGGTGGGTGAGGGCCACTTGCTGAACGGGCCTGGGAGCCACTGCTGGCACCGTGCCCAGGGGCTTCCTGGACAAATCTGTGGTTTCAGCGCTGGGAGAAGCTGTTTGTGCAGTAGCACGCCTTGTTCCGTAAATTTTTGCTGAGGCGGGCTCTGGTGGGTTTCCTTTGGTGGGTGTTTCCTCTGTGGGAGGCGTGTTGGAGGACAGGGGCAGAGCCAGGAGGTACCACTGCTGTGAGCTGCTGAGCAGAACCTGTGGTTTCTGCACCCTGGCAGGTGAGTCCATAGCCTGTTCTGCCGTGATATGGTGGTGGTTCTTCTTCCTACCCAGTTTGGCTTGGACACCAGGACACCTCCATCAGGGGGTAGCCTTTCACTTGTCCTGTGTTCCTGGGCATGGCACTGTTCCCCCTCTTTGCAGAGTATATATTTAATTATATTTAATTCCTTACTGGGAGGAGCTGGGCAGAGAGGCATCCAAAGCATTGTGGATAACTTCCAAACAAACCCTGTTTAATTAAGGTGATCCTTTGATAGCACCCCCCACACACCTGCTGTGACCACGAGTGTAACACTTCCTGCCACCAGGATCTGGGAATTTCCCACTAGCTAGATGTGTACACAACTGTCCTGGGGAGCAAAAAGGAGGCAGCTTATGGTACTTGGTCAGGAAGAATGAAAATGAGTGAGAATGTGGTGGGGGAATATGTCTCACTGGAGATTTTTTGGGGAGAGCTGCTGCCTCTGAAATGAAGAATTGTTGAGGAAACACAAAGGACTTGTTTCTTTGAGATCTGAACCAGTCATTTCATCATGGAGGCAAATTCCACAGAGTGCAGGTATCCTGGAGTCTAAAATCTCAGGGCTCAGCTTCTAAAGTGACTAGCAGTGTTCTGTATCAAGGATGAGGTGGCTTCTTTGTCTCTCAGATTCCTTAGTGGCCTATGTGAGAGGTGATAAAAGGGAATCTGGCATTCTGAGGGTTGGTGCCCTATGAAAAAGATGTGTCCTGTCCCAAACTGAGCCTTAAAACGGCAAGATCTGTTCCCTCTTTGCACCCTAAGCTGAAATCTACAGGTGTGACTTGTGGCCCTGTGATGCCTTGAGCAGCATGCTCAGTTCCTGGAGGGCAGGACTTGAGCCTTTCTTCCTACCTCCTGTTTTACCTCCCGTTTTTTACCTCCCTTCTTACGTGTCTCACTCTAAACCTTTTCCTTCACTGTCTGTCTCTCCCTCTGCCCTCCAAGTCTGGGTTCCCTGCTCTCCTCTCCTTGCTCCTTTGCATCCTCCCTGGGAAGGCCATCCACATCACCTATGAGCCGGGCTGGCAGGCCTTGGGAGCAGATGCTTCCTCCTCCTCCTCCTCCTCACGGCAGGTAACCAACCTTTCTGGGGATGGGTGGGACCCACCTACCTCTCACGCTTCCAGCCTTTCAGTTCCAGCTCCCTTTTATGCTGACCTCCATTCTTTTTTTTCCTTTTGTTTTGTTTTTCTGCATTTGTTTTTCCATCCTGTGGCTCTGAAGCTGTTCCTGGTCCCAGGTGAGCAGTGTCCATGGCACAGAGGGAGTGTGCTGGAATCGAGACTTTCTCAGCTCTCTTCACTCATATTCTTTGTGTTGCTCAGCAGAGTTTCTTTGGTTTTATTTTTTTTTCTTTCAGCAGCTTTAACAGAATTTGCTGGGCATGTAGGAGATGCCCTGTCAGTCAAGTTGGTGGTTTGGATAATGATCCATCTGGGATTTAAATGCCAGGTCCCGGAGTCTCCCATTGCCACTGTGCTTTGCCACTCAGCTTCTCATCATTCCTGACACGGGTTGAGTGGGAACTTGGTCTGTTCAGTGGTTGTGTGGTGGCTTTTCTGGCATCACAGGTGCTGGAGGAAGATGGGATAGAGAGGTACCTGCAGGTTTCTGGCATAATAAGCCCAGTATGGCTGGGGCACAGAACTGTTACAGAGCTGCTGGTGGGTGGGAGACGAGAGCCAGGGCAGCTTCTCTCGGACACTTCCACGGTGTCTGAGGCTCTCTAGATGCCAAAGGAGATGTTCTGCAGCCAGGTTACCTGCACAGTAGCAGATACCTTCTGAGATGGAATCTTGCCTTCTGACCACCCCCTGCTTCCCTTTCCTCTTGGTCATTTGCTGCAGGTCGACTCCACCTTATTTGCCGAGTTCCAGGCCTGGAAGGAATCTCCGACTTTGGACAAGTCCTGCTCCTTCCTGGATAGGATTTACCGAGAAGACGTGGGGCCCTGTCTGGACTTCACTAGGCAGGAGGTGAGTGCTGGAGAGGCAGCTCCAGAGGGTCACCTTGGTGGAGGTGACCCCGGCACGCTCGTACCCGCTGTCCCCTCTGTTTGCCGCAGCTGTCGGAGCTGGTGCGAGCGGCTGTGGAGCAGAACACCCTCACCATCGAGCCAGTGGCTTCCCAGACGCTCCCTGTGGTGAAGGTGGCAGCAGAAGAGTGTGGTGGGCCCAAGTAAGGACCGTGTTGACCGTGTTTTATCTCCTTGCTGCGGGTGGGTTTGTGGAGTTCGGCCGGCCTCGCTCGGTCACTGAGCTGGACGGTTCAAAGGGCTCGGCTGAGCGTTCCCCAGGCTCGTGAGCAGCTGGAATTTAGCTCAGCTCTGCCTGAGGAGAGGAATTAGCTTAGCTCAGCAGATGAGCTGTTGGCTGGTTTTTGGGATAACCTGTGAGTGCCCTTGACTGCAGGGTGGGTTTTTTTCCTTGCCGTGAGGCAGCAGCTTGTTTATGTTCTCTGAAGGTGTTTGTGCATAACCAGGGTTAAATCAGAGCTGCATTCTTGCATCTTGTGAGGTTGGAGCTCACCTTTCATCCTGACCTTGCTGGTGGGCTTGAGCCTAGGTCAGAAGAGATTTCCTTTTTGCTGCACATCATCCTCCCCACCCTGCCACCAGAACTGGGGCTGTGGCTGCTGCAGAGCTCTTGTGACTGTATCTGCTGGGACAGACAGCTTGGGATCACCTCAGGGAAGAGGAGCACTAGCAGAAACTACATGACATTCCAGATAAAGGAGGGGATTTTATTCAGCTGATGAATTCAAGTTCCATCTAGGCTCCCTCTCTCTGTCCTTCCTTCCCTTACCTTCAAACAGAGCACCCCCTAAAGTGTCCCTGTGAGGGCAAATGCAGGTTTTCCCACCACTCTCCTGCATTTTCTGCCATCTCTAGGCAAATTGCTCCAAGAACAACCCATCCTGTCTTCATCCTTATCAGTTTCCTTTTGGTTTTTTTTTTTTTTGTCTTCACAGTGGGTTCCGGCCACAAATTGTAACGTAAGTGAAGCATTTATTGTTTAGCCGGTGATCAAAGATCTCTAACACATTAACAAGTGACTAACTCAGTGCAATGCAGCAGCTCGGAGGCTCGAGCTGAACTGAGCTAACTCTTTAACCCTGTTTCATTTCCAGGCAGGATGGTGTAGAATCTTGCTACTGGGAATAAAAAAAAAAATCCCAAAGGAGTTCATTAACTTTCGTTCCCCAGGTGTAAAACACTGATTTTTGTGGCATTTTTGGTTACCCCTAACTATGGTTGTGACAGCTGTGGTTACACCAAGTCACCAAGAGTCTCCTTTTTCTATGTGCTCCAGTGTTCAATTTTTGTGACTTAAAAATTTCTTGTTATTGGTCATCCTACACTTTCCGAGAATTTAATCTCCTTAAGTTGTGTTAATACTTGGCCAATGATTACTTCTCCTTGCATGTGGACTCTTACAGCCCGTGCTTCCACTCTTGGCTAATATTTGCCTTGACAGCAGTGGAAAGCAAGCTCAGAGACACGCTCAGAACCTCCCTGAAACATCTGCTCCCATGTGTTGGCACCTTCCATGGCTCCCAGAGCAGTTTCTTGCAGCTGGGGACTGATGTCCCTCTTTCCACGTGCAGGAACTGAACCTCTGAGGAACGTGGAGATAACTATTCAACAGAAAATTCTGCTTTACTGCTTGAAGTGGTGATGAAGGAAAGGCAACTGGCTGGTGATGGGAACCATAATGGAAGAAATAACAGAAAAAAATGGCAGGAAAAGAGAGGCTGCTGACTGTTTTGAAAAGACTGTTTTCTTCACTCTGAGTGAAATCCTAAAATTGTGAAGCCAAGCTTCTTCTCTGTCTGCCCAAGGAGGGATTGGCTTGTCCTTAGGAATTGCAAGCCTCATCCAGAGCAGTGTGGCTTGTTTTGAGTTTTCAGCATGAGCAAATTCTGCTCTAAGGCTGGATTTGCCTGTTTTGAGGCCAGGTTTGATGTCCAGCCAGCATGTTTGCATCCCAGCAGGAAAGCTGATACACCTGAGTCTTCCCTGGAATGTGGAGGAGATGTGCAGGGACCAGATGACATTACACTCTGTCTTCTGTAGTTTTCTCTTGGGCTCTGTGCCAGGGGAAGGGTATAACTTGGTGTATTTGGGTGTGGAATTATTCATGATTCCAGATATTTAACTCTCCTAACCTGCCATTTGTGGAATCTTTTAGGAGCAAAAGGCTCTATCAGCCATAGGTGGTTTTTTTTCATGTTGACTGACCCAGGTCTGGCTTCTGAGCTCCTCCTTCCATCTCCTGAGATTCCTGAATTCCTGATCTCCGCTGTGCCACTGGATTGCTGAAGTGTTTTTTCCTTTCCCTGCAGGAAATGTGCTCTCAGTGGCCTCCCCAGGACCTGCAAGCACCGGATCATGCTGGGAGATTCTGGGAATTACTACTACATTTCACCTTCCTGCAGGGCCAGGGTGAGTCCTTCACCTTCCCAGGGTGCCTTGATCCTCCAAAATTGTCCCATGTCCTGAGGTGCAGGAGCTCTTGAGGGTCAGCCTTCAACTTAGGGAACACCTGTGGGATCTGAGTTTATTCCGGAGGTCGGGGTGGCTCTCGGTTAATAATCAGGGTGCAGATCCAGCCCTGCTTCTGCTTTCAGACAACCTTCAGTGTGTTCACTTTGCATGGTTTCATTCTGTGCAGGGCTTTGCTTTTTTGGCTTTATCGTTATTTAATTCCCCTTTGTAAAACACAGTAATTTTCTGCTCTTTAAATGCTCTTACTGTTCCAGTCAGATCCGTGACTCGGGTGGTTGTGAGAACAAGTTGTTCTTTCTGTGGAGGGAAGGCAAAAGGTGGATAATTTATTAATGTTGCTGTTGGGGCTTTGATTCAATGGAGCATTTTAGAAGTTTATTCTTTCCTGAACTGCATATCACAAGAGCTGATCCCGAAACATGTGACCATTTTGGACACAAAAGGTTGTTTTTGTGCACAAACTTGACTCATTTTTGTCACTTGCCCCAAAGCAGTGCCTCAAATCTGCAGTAAATTGGAGTTGTTCCATGTTGTGTCTCATGGATAGTGTAATGTCTAGGGATGGGATGGCAGATACCCAGATGGGTTTTTTAAATTTCATTTTTAACCAGCTTTCATCCTACCTGGTGATACGTGGGACTATTTCTCAGGTGCCAAACACTGAGCCTTGCTGCTAAGTGCAGTGCAGGCCTTTTGGCAGAGCAGTTCTGGAGCTGATTCCCAGTTTTTCTCTTTTCCTCTCTCCCTCAGATCACAGCAGTCTGCAACTTCTTCACATACATCCGCTATATCCAGCAGGGCTTGGTGAGGCAGGATGGTAAGAGCTGGTTGCAGTGGGATGCTTTCTGGGGAGGAATTAAGAGGTGCTGTTCCAAAGGACAGGAATGGGGCCAGCTCAATGCCCTCAACTCCCTGGGTCTTTGAGAAGCAGTGCAATGACAAAAGAAAAGCGTGAAGGAAGGAAGAGAAGCACCTGGGGTGGTGCTGATAAGGGGTGACCTGATGGGCATCTCCTGCTTCCCTGACTTTGGGAAGGAGGCTGGCCGGGCTGCACTGGGAGGTGGTGTCCAGCTGTGCCTTGCTCACTGATTTTTGGTTGGTTTTTCCCTCCTCTTCCCCACACCCCTTGTGCTGTGCAGTGGAGCTGATGTACTGGGAGGTCATGCGGCTCCGGAGGGAGATGTCCCTGGCCAAGCTCGGATTTTATCCCAGTGAGATGTGAGCAGAGGCCTGAGCGTGGAAGGGAACTGCTCCAGTACGAAGGGCTTTGTGAGTGCAGTGCCTGCCCTGCAATGGGCCTTTCTCCCTCCCCACCCTCTCTCTGCCTGAAGCTGACCAAGAAGCACAACTTCCACCTTCAGCTGTCCAGCCTCTCCAACTGTGACTGGAATGCAGCTTCCACGCTGTCCCCTCGGAGCTGGGCTGGCCCTGGCTGCTCTGGGGTGGCCAGCTATAGACTCTGGAGTCTCCTATATGCAGTGTATATCCATTTTTTTAAACTTTTGTTTTTATATGCAGTCTTCTTTGGCATTTTCTGAGGAGGGCAGGAGTTCTGGACCTTCCCTGTAAGCCAGTCTGAGGACAGATGCTGGCTGTCTGTCCCTGTGCCCTGCTCATTTTTTGGGGGTACTCTGAGGTCCTGCTGACCATGGCAGCCCAGAAAATGCCAGCAGAGCACAATAACCTTAGGGAGAGCCATGAACAGTTTGTTTCCAAGTACTTCCTTGTTCCTTTTAAAGGAGCCTGCAAGAGAAGCTTTCTGCCAGCGGAGTCACAAAGAAGGATTTGTTCCTCTTTTCAGCTTGCTGTTTGACTCTGGGTTATGCAGGCTGGGGGAATGGCTGGAGCTGTGCACCTGGGGCCTCCAGCAGAAGAAAGGGAGCAGGAAAATTCCCTGACTCCCAGCTGGCTGCAGTCGGTGCAGGATGTTTTCTCCTGGACTAGGAAATCTGCTGCAGTTGTCACCGGCAGACCTTGCCACGGCCCCTGTGACACTCCTTGGTGTGGGAGTCCCCCATGGTGCTCTCAAACACAAACCTCATCCACAAACATGCCCTGGAGCTGTTCCTGATCCCGGGGGAGCTTTGAGCAGTCCTGTTTGCATGGTTTAGGTAGAATCCATTTACCCAGCTTGGGTTCTTCTCATCCCAGAAGGAGCGTGCCCAGGCTGGGCAGTCCTGAAGCCCAGAGGTTTCCTCCCTGGTGTTACATTAGACCTAGAGCTGCCCATTCCAGTGGGAATCCCAGCTTGTCCTGGGCTGCCATCCCCAGAGAGGGAATTGAGACACCGTTGTGTGCACATGAGGGGTGTGGCTGGGGTTCCTGTATCCCCCAAAATGTGCTGGGAGGGAGAGATGTCACTAAAGCTGTTGGGACACACAGGTCTGCCACAGACCCGGGTTTGGTAAGGCTGTGACAGTGATTTGTAGCCAATTTAACCTTTTTTTCAGTGTCTGTGGAGCAGCCACCACCCACCCTGGGGTTTCCATCTCTGACTGACACATCACCCTGCCCAGCACCGGGTCACCATCCTCAGCTCCAGAGCTTTCATCCTCTCCCGAGGGATGCTACAGCAAGAGCTCAGTTTTCTTCCACTAAAGACACAAACTGAGCTGCTGTGGTTTTGCCCAGAGGAGGGGGAAATGGGCAGGGAAGGCAAAAGCTTTGGTTTCCCCAGCTGCAGATTTCAGCTCAGGTAAATTCCATCCCTGGAATTTCTCCTTTCATCTGCTCCCCCTGACCTTCTGATCTCTCCATGTCTTCCTGTGCCCTTGGCTGCTCCATTGCACACATTGCAGCGCTGGGAATGAGGTGATCTCTCGAGGTAGGAGGTGGTTTGTGGGATTTTTTTTCTTCCCCTCGGTGTCACATTGTAAAGCACTTTTTTGAGACGAAAGGAATTGGAGAAATGCCACCTGTGAAGTTGTCTTACATTTCAAGTGAAGCAGAGAGAACAATTTGTAAAGGAAGATGAAGTCACTCCGTTAACGGCAGGATGGTTGCACCCTGCTCTTGAATAATGGAAAATAAACATTTGCTATTAACCTCTAAAAGTCTGGTTGGTGGTTGAGGGGTTGGGTTGGTTGGGGTGCTCAGTAGCCAAGAGAAAATGAAATTTGGCTGAAGCTCTGAGCTTCTCTGACTCCTGTGTGACCTCTGGGATTGGGTCTTAATGCTTTTTCTCATCAGTGTGTCCCTCCCATAGCTGGCTGCTCCCTGACCTCACAAGGGGAATAAGTGGTGGTGTTTTGGTGCCAAATAGAGGTTTTTTTCCCACAGGTGGGTGAACATTTCTTCACAGAATCCCAGAATGATTTGGGTTGGACAGGACCTTAAAACTTACACTGGAGGCAGTTCAGTGCCCAAAAAATGCCCAGGAGGAGGGGCTGCCACATCTGGAGAGCCCTAACAGGTCTGAGGGAGAGCAGCCTCCAGAAAGGGACATAATTTTAAATTTCAAAGTGGTGGTGCAGCGCGGTCGGGCAGCCACGAGAGGGCACAGGCAGCCCAGGCAGGGACTGTCCTGGTCCTCCCTCCCTGCGGGAACAGAGCATCTCCAGACCCCTCCTGGATTCTGCCTCCAGGAGGACCTCACACCTGCTCAGCTGCACCCTGCAGCCCCTTGAAACAGGGGAACAGCTTCCCTGTGCTGCTGGAGATGGGAATTGGCGTTAGACAGGTGTAAGGCTGTGACGTGGGAAGGAAGGATCTGGATTTCTTGAAGGGGAATGTTGCAAAGCCACAAGAGTGGCCAGGTGACAGACTGGGAATGTTTGGCTTTGCTGTCAGAAACCTTCCTGTAGCTGGAGCTGAAGGACAACCAGCAAACTATCAAAGAGGATTTAGTTTTCATTCCCCTCTCCCTCCTAAATCCTTTTTTTCCCTGTTATGAAGTGTGAGTTTGGGAGAGAAAATGGGTATTTCTCTCTCTGATGGAGGTTAGTGCTGTGCATAGCAAGGTGCTTTTAAGTATTTAGATGTTAATACATGATTAAGGGGAGAATTTAGGAGACTTGGTATGGCAAGAAGAGAGAAAACAGGATAAGGGACCTGGAGAATTGGTTGCTGGTGGCAATTCCCTGTGTGTGCTGGTCCTGTGTTTCTCCCTGCCTGCAGTTCCTCCAGGTTTGCTCAGAGCTGTAAATCAGGCTTTGCTCAGCGGTCAGGCTGTCCCCACATGCTCTCCGAGCTGAGCGTTTCCAGGAACCAACAAATGAAAGGTTTTCTGTGTGTGTGTTTGTTTGTTTGCTCCAGGTGCAATCAAGAAAAGCGGGGGGAAGATAAAGCAGCTGGCCTCCAAAAAGTCAGATGTTTCAAAGCTTCCCGCAGGATGAATCCATCAAAGCAGCGGGAATTACTCAGAACAGGCAGCGCTGTGTCAGCCGTGGGGAAATTCCAGACATTCAGGGAGTGTGGCCCTGCCAGGAAAAAGTCAGATCTGGCAGCGCTCTCAGCGTGCACGTGGCACTGAGGGCTGGCCAGCTCTGCCAAGGCAACACATTCCCAATAGGAGCAATCCCTGTGGTGCCACTGCTGCTGGGAGCCAAGGGGTCAGGTTTTGCTGTTTATCATGTCAATATTCCCGTGTTTGTACGAGGTTTATCAGGCTGAGCTGGAAGGTTGACTCGAGCCAGGCTGTTGGAGGCAGATGGATTTTGTGCTGGTTTATATAACACACAGAGAACTGCCAGGACAGGCCCCCAGGGGGGTAATTCCTTGCTTTTCCCTGCATTTGCAGGGGGTAAGCTGAATAGCCAGATGACAGGTGTGTGGTGCACAGCCCAAAGAAGAGAGAAGTGAAAGTTTTACCTTGTCTGGGGGTGGATTAGAAGGAAAAGGGAGCAGAGAGAAAATGAGACCAGGACTAGTGTGGGCTGGATATGAGAGGAGAAATGGATTTTAGAATGGTCTTAAGTTGAACAGAGCAGATTAGCTATTAGATTTAGATAGATAGTAAATTTACATTAGATATTAGTAAAAAATTTTTCCTTATGAGGGTGGTGAGGCCCTGGCTCAGGTTGCCCAGAGAAGCTGTGGCTGCCCCATCCCTGGAAACGTTCAAGGAGAGCTTGGACAGGGTTTGAAGCAACCTGGTCTAGTGGAAGGTATCCCTGACCATGGCAGGGGGTTGAAACTGGAAGATCTTTAAGATCCCTTCCAACCCAAACCATCCTGTGATTCTCTGGTAAATCTGAGCTCACAGTGGTGCTTTGGCTCAGGAGATGTGACAGCACTACCTCAGGTGACAGAGCAGAGAGACAGCAGAGAAAGTTTGGGAAGGAAAAGGTAATCCTTAGCTTTCCTTTGCCTTGAACTGGAAATGATTCCCCTTGGAGGAGAAGACGTCAGCAACCCGGGCAAAGCTGAGTCAGTGGTACAAATCTCATGACTTACAGGTAACATCAGTGACAGAAAAGGAATCCCCAGCCATTTGTGCAGGAGCAGTAAGCCCCAAAACAGCTCCCTGTGGGACTGTCTCACAGAGGGGAGCTGTGAAAAGGAAGCTTTGCAGTGAAAACTCCAGCACTCATTCCCGTGCTACTTACAGAGCTTTCAGTGGGGTTCACGTGGGCACACAGGACCCTGTAAGCTTTTTAACCTAAGAATTCGTTCATGCTTCTAATTTCTGCTTCCACTCCAGTTCTGGGACTGCAGGCTTTCCTCTGGCAGATGTAGATGGGATATTGGCTCAAGGGCAGCTCTCTGCCCTTAATTCCCCTGGCTCACTGAGCTAATTCTGCTCTGTTAATCACCTTAGAGTCAATTTAGGATGCTTCCTGATGGTGGACATGTATGTTGGTCACCTGAGAGGCACCTTTACTCTTTCTGCATCAGCAGCTGGGGCTGGAAGATGTGACTCCTGTGTTGCTCTTGGTGACCTTGCTCTTTGTCAGGCCATCAATGCCAGCTGGCAAAAGCCACCAAGAGGGAAAGAAGCACTAATCCAACTTTCAGTCAAACTGAGGGCAGTGATAAATATTGTCTTGGGGGGAATTGGAGCACTGGGAATTGTCTAATGGTTCCATGATGCTTTTGGACAGGTGAAGTGTTGCATCCACCCAAAAATCTTGGCAGCTCTGGCTTCCATTAGTCCTAAAGCCTCTTCTATACAGGAACATTAACAGAGGAAGCATAAGTTCCAAATCTTGTTCCTCTAGCACTGAAATTATGCCTCTGTGTGTGTGTAGAAGACCTTATGTGTTGTGTTTGGGGATGTCAGGCTGGTCAGTGCCTGACCCAACTGAGTTTTGAAAGCCCAGAAATCATTTTGATGCTCTCAGCTGTGGTGTCACTGCTTCCTCTTCATAATGCTGGTTTTAAAAGCCTGGATTTACACATTCAAAGTGCACAAATGTCTTAAACCCTCTTAGTGCAGCACATGGGACTCATCCCTGTCTTAACACTGTCACATCCAGGATAACCTCTCTGGAACATGGATCCATTTACCACATATTTCAATAGAGGCCTTGAAAACTGCCCCTCTCTGTTTAGGAAATGTTGTATAAAGGAAATGGCTTCTAATCTCTGTCTTCTGTTTGGTGCATGATTCATTTGCTCATCACAGGGCAGAGCAGACTCAACATTTCTTTGCTTTTTATTTATTTTACTTTATTTTTAGCTATGCAGACAGAAATTATCGCAGTCGTGGAGTGGTTTGGGTTGGAAGGGGAGTTTAAAGATTATCCAGTCCCTGACTTGCCCAGAATCTCCTGCTGCAACATTCAAGCCCAGGCACTTCGTTATTATCGAGCTGTTGATTTTTTTGCAGGATGTGGAAGGAGTCATGGTGCTGGAATGCTGCTGGAACACTGGATTCATGATGCCTTGCCCTCTAGTGCTGTTGGATTGCAGTTCAGTTGCATACCTTCACTAAATCAGGGGCTTAATTTCAGCATTTGGTGAGACGTGATGGGGAGACAAGAACCAGCATGGGATGGAACTGGAATTGGCAGCAGCACCTTGATTTAGGTTCACACTTTTATTTGCCCCTCCCCTGGGTGATGGTGAAGCACAGGTTGTGCTGCCTTGGTCCATTTGGGGTCGTGAGTGTGGCCTGAAGGTTTTGTGGACTTGCAAAGGGTGGTGATTCCAGCTCAGAGTGATTTACCTGCAGATGCTCATTGGGCCAGACAGGAGAGCCAGGAACCAGCAGCATCTTCTGCAGCTCAGGACCAGAGTTCTCAGGTGTTATCAGGCATCTTGTGAGCAACGAGGGAATCAAACACACCGAGAAAGAAAGAGCAGTGTGGTTCCTATGTTTTATAGAAAACCAGCTGCTGCTTAATGAAACAGACCTGAGGCCAAGATAATTAAGGCCAATGAAATTAATCAGGCAAGTGAACCAGCCACACCCATTTGAAGGAGGATGGGGCAATCACGGGCAATTAAGGTGATTAATCCTCTCATTGTCACCCACACATCCAGCACCTGGAGGTAGCTGTGTGGTTACCTAACTGTGCTCAGAAGGGTGCTGCAGGCGAAGGTGGTGCTTCCAGGTGAGGATTCTTCTCCTTGACCTTCTTCCCCCCCTTTCTTGGATTTCTGCTGAGCTTCCTTTGACCTGAGTAGCCTGAGCTTGACCTTCAAACCTCAGTCATGGGTGGAAAAGCTCTGATACAGGATATTTAAGATAACATCATCACTTACCCCAGTGGAAATTTGCCCCCACCAACCTCTGGGGGTCTAGATAGCACTTTTATTTATATTTTACATAAGGGTTGCCATGGGGGTGTGATTCACCTCCTGGCTTGCTTTTGAATTCTGGAATCCTGGATGATTCCCTTCATAATTTTGATAACATAGTCTTGAGATGGATAATGAGTCTGTGTGGAAATGTGAATGGAATATTTGCCTTCACCTGTCCCCTGTTCTATAGAATCTGCAGCCAGCCAGGACAGGGGGTGGTGTAAGCAGGACTCAGTATGGAAGTGTTTCTATATGATATTTGAGGAATTCAGACTTATTTTTCAAGCTGCCCAGTAAAATGTATGATAATATGCTGTAACCCAGCACAAATGCTGAATGAGGCTCAACTTGTCATTGACTCTTTTGAACAGAATTTTAAAAACCTGCTGCAAAAAGGGAGCTCGTGGATGTGGCTGCCCCATCCCTGCAAGTGTCCAAGGTCAGGTTGGAGCATCCTGGTCTAGTGGAAGGTGTCCCTGCCCACGGCAGGGGGTGGAAGGAGATGGACCTTAAAGTTCCTGTCCAACCCAAGCCATTCTGGGATTCTGGGTGACAAGGTACCTTCTTGCACTGTCTGGGTGAAAACTGCATGTCTGAGCACCATAAACATGTTTCTTACCATTCTGAGGCCAGGGGGTGTTGTGAAACAGTTTCCTGAGACATCTGGAATTGGGCAACTGCAGAGCTAGGAAAGCTTTTTAAAAAGCAATATTAGTTATTAATGACCATTAAGATCATCGAGTCCGACTTAGGCGCATTTTATGTTGATTTCCTGTTTTAGATTCCCTGTGCTAATTTCAAGGGAGGGAGTTAAAAAGGCTTAATTTCAAGTAACCTGTGGAAGTTTCAGTCTTTCACAACTTAAAACCAGATAAATTAAAAATAAATAAAAAAAATATAAATACATACATATATACATATAATATATAAAAATATAAATACTAAGATAAATAAAAATAAAAATCCAGGTGTACTGGGTTCACAGGGGCAGAATGGCTTCCCAATTCTCAGCTGAACAAAGACTGACCTTTGGATAGGCTGAGCCTAAACTTTTGGAAGATAAATCTTGGAAAACTGGCTATCTTTCCACATTTCAACTAATACCTGAAGATTCCCAGCAGAGATACAAGCCCTGTGGAAAAGCAGAGAGTGTTTTAGTGTAGGCATCTTAATCCAGAATGTGATCCCAGAACTGCCAGGTCCTTGATCCCCCTGAGCCACCTTCCTTTGGAATGCTCGCAGATCCGAGCCACGTTGTCCTGGGATGCTCAGCTGTACTCCCAGGGAGGAAAGCCAAGTGTTTGTTGATTTGTGACAGTTTATTTTTGTGTAACAGCTCCCCGTGTTTGTATTAGGGGAACGTGTTTATTCTAGGATTAAATAAAAGTCCCAAAAATGGGGCAAGTGGGGTCACTTTGTGGTTCGATTGCTCACAGGACCTGCTCTCTGGTTTACCTATGGAGCAATTTCTGTGTACTCTGGAAAAGCTGTAGTGTTGATTTAAGGTGGCAGCTGAGCCCACTCTGGCCTTCCCCAACCATCACTGAGCCTCCTGACTGGGACAGCCACTTCCCACTCACAGCCTCAGGCTGTTGTGTTGTTCCTGCTGATGGCTGAGGTCCAAATGGGGTTATTTGGAAGAACTAACAGGCTCCCAGTTCTGTTAAAGCCTCTGGGCTGACCTCAAGTCCACTGATGGCATTGTTCTCAATATGGACTTTGACCTAAAACCCACTGATGGTGTTGACCTCAGGCCCACCAAAGCACTGGATCCAAGCTGTGGGTTAGAAAAGCTGCTCACCATAGCCCTGGATGAGCCATGAATGGGCAGAAAATTGACTTTTGAAAAATTGTTAAATGCTTCTATGAAGTTTTCACAGCAATTTTGTCCCCAGTTGCCTCCCCGAGCAGTCTGGAGGCTGAGTTTGAGTGGCCAGGCAAATCTTGGACAGGAAGGTTTCCTTTTCTGTAGTGCTTGTTCCCAGGATGAGGGAAAGCAGCTTTATTGTTCCTGAGCTGTGGGAAGGCTGATAAAGAAACCTATCTCTGCTATAAAAGTAATTTCCCTAATTTCATCCTGTGAGGTGCAAAAAGGACTTTCCACAATCACCAGCTCTGTGAAAAAACAAACAAAACAGTTGGGAAAACCAAGGGAAGCCATAATCAGCAAGTCTGATCCCAAATCCTTTTCCAGAGTTTTGCTTCCATGGTGTCCTTGGTTTGGGGTCTGACTTTGAACTGCTGAAAACAAGCAGTTACAAGATTAAATTTGAAAATCAGGCTTGAATCCCCCTTTATGCCAAATCTTGCCCTGACCCTTTTGATGTGCCTGGAAAAACCACATAAAGCATTCTGATGGTCAACAAATAGTTATGATTTTATTGAGTTGCAGAATACACAAGGAAAAAAATTGTTCTTTTTGAGTTACTGAAATATTTTATTTTTATTTTTAAAGAATGAGAAAAATCAGGACCTGTCCTAATAAGGAATGTGGGTTTGCTCTTTTAACACTGGGAATGTTAGGGCTTTGTTAGGAAGGCTTTCTTAGGAAAGCATCTACTAGGAGAGGCCATGGCTAGGGCATGGCAGCTTGTGACAGAAGGAAAAGGATGTCTTTGCCCTAACAAAGACCTCAAATCCAGCCAGAGTGCCCAGATGGTGCCTGGAGATGGGTCCTGATGAGGCTCTGAGCCTGCCAAGCCCTATTTCAGTGAGCAGTTGGGATCTAGATTCCTCAAATCCATGCTTAAAGGGAAACCCCCAGTGCAAGTCCCCTAATTCCCGTTTCTAGTCAGTCCCTGCTCTCAGAGCTGGGGTTGGGGGGGAGCTCAGGGTGAGATCCAGCTCACCATGAGCTTTTTGGGGATGTCACCAGCCCTGTCTCTCCTCTGAGCCCAAGCTCTGCCCTGTCTCTGCCTCCTTCTCCAGCACCGTTCTCCAGGCAGACACCTGGAGTTGGGACAACATGGGACACCTGATTCCAAGTTGCTTTTTCTTCTCTCTCTTCACCCCCTTGGCAATTCTCCTCCCACTCTCCTGCATCCCTCCCCAGCCCCTTCCCTTCCCAAATTTCTCCCCTCCCTGTCCTTCTCCTCACAAAGCTCATGCCCACCTCCGTTCTGCCCAGAGCTTTCTCTTTTGCTGCAGTTTGTGCCAACTTTCCTTAACCCTCCTGGTCCTCCAGCTCCTCCTGCTCCAGTCCCCACCAAGTGTGTGAGGAGAAGCAGAGCCAGCCCTTCCCTGCCTGGTGTTTGATTATCTGCCCTGACACCAGCTCCGTGTTTCCAGCTCGTGGCCTCTCCCCGTTGCCATGTGCCAGTGCTGTGGAGTAGCTGGGTTCAATAACCCCTGGCAGGCTCCCAGCAAGTCTTACTGATTTTTTTTTCCGTGTTTGTGTCTCGTTACAGTGCAGATGAATGACCTTTATCAAGAGGGAAACAAGAACAAGGTGAACAAGACTTCGCCTCATTATTTTCAGAGAAACGAGTTTGAGTCCTCAGAAATCTGGGCAAAACTCTGTTTAAATTCCGAGTTTCGATCATTTTAATGGCAAATTTAAACCTGCAAGGGATGTTTGTGGCTGACTGGTTGCTGCCTTTTGCCTGGGTTGGAGACAAAGCCAAGCAAGCTCGTGATGTGAAGTTTATATCTGTCTACGTTTGCAGTTTTACTGAAACTTCTGGAATATCTCCTAATTTTGTTTTGATGCTACTTACAGCGATAACAAAACAAAATTGAGCCAGACTTCCAGGACTCTTTGTCAGGGATCTGTTTGACCTGCTCCAGTTAAAGGATGGAGAATTTACAGAATCACAGAGTGGCTTGGGTTGGAAGGGACCTTAAATATCATCCAGTTCCAACCCCCTGCCACGGGCAGGGACACCTTCCATGGGAACAGGTTGCTCCAAACCCTGTCCAACCTGGCCTGGAACACTTCCAGGGATGGGGAGTCAACAGGGCATCAAGGCACTTAGGAAATACCTTGAATTCCAACATAGAGCGCTGGGATTTTTTGGAGGGAGGCGAAAGAAACCATATGAGGCAAACCAGAGAGGCTTTGCCTGAACAAAATTACCAGTATCTTACATTTTCACCAGATAAGCTTTTTGCACATAAAAATTAAATTAAGAAGAGAAATGCCCAGCTACTTACAGAGGGGGGCTGGTGCCCTGCTCTTTTGAGAACAGACCTTTTTTCTTTTGCAAGAGCTAGACCCATCCATGACACCTGGAAATCAGCTCTGACTTCACCAGTGCAGGGGTTTTATTTCTGGATTTGAGCAACTGAACATTTTTTTTTTTTCATGAAAAGGAATTTTTCATGAGGTTGAATCTCCAGATCAATCCTGTCCTCCCTTCTTCCCTTTTACCAAGGTTTTTTTGGGGAAAAAAATTGCCTGAGAGCTGGTCTTTCCTTCTGCAGATGGTTGCTCTCCTGGAATCTTCAGCTGCTGCCTCCTATTAGGCCAGGCTCTTGTGCTGAGTTTTCAGCAGAAAACCAGTTCTTCCACTCAACTGGTCAGTGGCCCCCAGGAAAGCCAAGCTGCTAAAGCAGAACTATTTACCCAGGCTGAGCTTTGAGCAGTTTCTGCGGGTGCTACAAAGGAAACAGTTTCCCAAGAAGAGAAGAGGGAACAGGGCTAAGGAGGAAAATATTTGCTCTGGAAATAAGAACGGGAGGGGTGGCAAAAAAATGTGGGCTGTCAGAAGAATGAGCTGAATATTTCAGAGCTTGCACTGCTGATCCAACTGTGGCACAGAGAGGGAGATACATTCAAGGAGTCAGGAAGGGATGTACATATTAAGGCAATTTTAATGAGGTTAGCCACGATTCCAGACTAGCCTGTTACTGTCTGTCTGGGAAATTACAGCACCCAGAAGGATGTTGTTGTTTATGATACTAGAAATCAATTTGCTCCAGGTCTGTTTGAGCAGCAGGTACCCTGGGGACAGAAGCTTTTCATCCTGAACATTCCTGGTGATATTCAGGTGGCCGAGAACACCAGAACAAGCCCTTTACAAACTCTAACTACTACTGGGTAGCTCAAGTTGCAATCCTGATGCTGAATTTCCCATCTGTAAGCAAAGATAGAATCTCATTTTATTTTCCAAAGAAGGCAGTGGGGGGGGGGGGGGGGAGTACATTTTTTTTTTTTGAAACGCTGGCCAGGGTCCCAGAGTTGTCTCTGCTCGTGAAGCACCTCGCTGGTTCTGTGGCACATTGTTGGAATTCAAGGAGTTGATAGAGTAGATCCAGTTTCAGAGCTGAGGGCAGTAAGGAGGCATGAAAAGTAACCAGAGTCTCCCTCCTGTGTGTGTTTCCAGTGAGCACTGAGATGGCTGTGGGAGCTGGAGGCTGCTTTTGAAACCACGGCCCTTTGTCATGACCCAGAAGGCACACTGGATTACACCTGATCCAAAGCCCTGGATTTATCTGGGATCAGGTTGCCTGTTACAGGAGCACCTGGATGCCGTTCAGCCACATCTGGTAAGCCATCAGTGCATTTTGGTGATCAGGAGTTGGGCAGAAAACTGAGTTTTAGACAACTTGGGAGAGGGTTCTGCAGAAGCACAGCCCAGTCAGTCCTGATTCCAGAAGGGTTGGGATCAAATGTTTGTGCAGCTCCTCCTTTTGCAGGGAGAGCTCCTTTTCTTCTCTGCTGGTTCCCAAGGGAAGAGTGAACAGTGCCACGGCTCCTGGCCTCTGACAAGCACTTTGGTGCCTGCCAGGCATGTGCAGACAGGCAGAACCCTGTGCTTCTGCAGCCCAGGACAGTGAAAAGCCCATTTGTGGCTCCTCCAGGGCACTGATGAGCAATTAGCAAGTTTTGCTTTTGTGACTTGTTTTGGTCTTTTGTGTCATTTCCTGACAGCCATAATGCTATGCCAGACCTGCTGCTCATTAAAGAGAAAACAGACCCTCTCCTAAAGGGGACATTTTTCTGTTTAAGCCCAAAAAATCTTCTACAAACCCCTGGAAATGGAGGCTGATGCTAAAAATAGGGTTAGGGGTTAGTTGTGCAGGGTGAGTGACACAGCTTGGCCAGAGGGATGCTATGATTAGAGAAGGAAAGGAGGGAGCTGGGCTCTGGGCAGGGCTGGAAGCCCCAGCACAGCCCAGCAGCTGCCGGTCCCATGGGATGTGATTCCTCTTTTACACAAACATGGGAAAGAGGCATGAGCTGACTGGGGGGTCCTTGGCTTGCAAACATTCTCTGAGGCTGAAAAACCCATGTGTGAATCAGGGCATGTGTGGTTTAGGCAAAATTAGAATGGATCTTGTGAAAAAAGAAGGTCAAGGTCGGATATTAATGCCCCTTTTTTTAAACATTCCTCATCATCCTCTCCCAACCTTCCATTTCATGCAATACTGGCGTCGCTTTTCATCCTCTGAAGCACATTTGAAATCTGTCTGGGTTGAACCCGAGGCAGCTGACAAGACAGGAAAGTCCCCTCCGACCGTGCACGTAGATACAGACTGAGATCTGAGAGTAAAAGACACGAGTGTGATCCCCCCCGCTCCCCCCCGTCCCTCCCGGCCACTCACACCTCCCCAGCAAGACTCATGTTCACTTATGGAGATAAGCATCCAGCCACAGGTCACCAGATTTCTTCAGGGACCTGCGGGAAGAGAACGAAGACGAGTTTGTTTGGGTTGTGGATCTCGTCTTTGGTGGGTTTTTTCCTGTAAAGAAGCCTGTCACTGAATTTTAATATCAATCACAGAGAAGGGATCTTAAAGACCATCCAGTTCCAACCCCCTGCCATGGGCAGGGACACCTTCCACCAGCCCAGGTTGCTCAGAGCCCCATCCAACCTGGCTTTGAACACTTCCAGGGCTGGGGCAGCCCCAGCTTCTCTGGGCAACCTGTGCCAGGGCCTGCCCACCCTCCCAGGGAAGGATTTCTCCCTAATATCCAATCTAAATATCTTTCTTTAGTTTAAACCATTCCCCTTGTCCTAGCAAATGTTTTCATTCCCATCAAATATTTTAATTCACCATGAAATTTCCTTGCAGGGCATCATCACCCCTCTGTGTCTGGGGACAAAAGCGGGTTTTGAGCCAGTTTTCGTGTTGTGGCCAAAACCCACTTTAATTTGCCTTTGCTTAGAGTGGTTTGTGCAGGACCTCCCTGGACTGCAGGACGCGTTCTCATGTTCCCTGTCATAAATTATTCCCCTTGGAGAAACTGAGACAGAACCATTAGCACAGAGGCTGCTGACAAGGACTATCAGATCCTCTCCAGCTCTGCCTGCAGGGAACGACAGCCTGTTGCTGCTGGCAGGGCTCACGTGGGACGCAGCACGGGCTGTAACCTGACTCATCCCCCTTTGATTCATCTCACTTTGCAGCCTGGAGATCTGCTGCCAGCTCCCAGAACCAAGAATCACCAGCTGCCAGAGCAGCATTTCAAAAAGGGTGTTTTAAAGAAGCTCCCTGTTAGATCACAGGATCATTAAGGCTGGAAAAGCCCTGTAAGATCATCAAGGCTCCCAGCACTGCTGAGCCACCACTAAACCACGTCCCCAGGTACCACAATCAGGTTAGTAACCCTCTAAATGTTGTGTGTTTGGTATTTTTGATAGCAACAACACACTGACATGGTATCCCTGAAGGGTCTATAGTGCCCTGAATTCTCTGTGCTAGAAAATACAGGATGTGCCATGCCTGTAACCATGAATTGAAGCTGCAGGTGATACCAGCAGGACCTTACCCAACAATGTCTACAAAAGCTTTCCCAAGAGGCTTCTCCTCATATTGGACTCCATACTTGGCACATAATGACTTCACCAAAGGCTTCACCTTCCAGAAATTGTGCCGTGGCATTGTTGGGAACAGGCTGGAATAGAGAGAGAGTGAAAAAACAAACCTGAGGAAACCCTGGAGACAAACCCCAAGGGATGGGCATGTCTGCATCCTCAGGGGGCTCGTTATTAGTGCACAGGCACATCCATGCTTTACAGCCCTCTGTTTCAAGGAGGTTGTGAAAACTGATTCTCCTGCTGTGCCTCAAAGCAAAGCTATGTTCAGGACACAGGGAAAGTCAGTCTGTGCAAAAGGGGATGCTTCAAGTGCAATGTGATGGCAGCAGGAGGGAGAGAACAGCCTCAGTCTGCTCTGATGCCTGCCCATTTCCTTTGGGAATAATTGTTTCTTGCCAAGTTTTATCCCTAGTAACCCCTTTCCCACTCCTGGAAGCTCATGGAAGAGAAGCAGATAAGGAAGGATCTGGGGGCACCTTGCCCTGTGCTGGTCAGTGGACATTTCCTAAGCTGACTTTCAAACATAAAGCTTCACCCCAAAAGCCATCTCTTTTACACTTTGTGTTGTCACTGGCAACAGACTGTCCATATTGCCCTGGTTTTAACACCTATTCTTCTGGAATCTGGTGCCTGGCAGCCCATGCAGTCCCACACACTGTAAAACACTGGAATGCTTTAGGAGAGAGCAGATTCCTGACATGGATACTCAAGTAAGTTCAAGTAGTTTGCTTAGGATTTGAGCCCACAGCTTTTGTAACTGGGAGATACATGATCATAACTCCTAAATAAATGCCAAATTAGAATTGTGAAAGCTGAGGTATTTGGCAGCAAGGCCAAGTGATGCTGGGTCTGTACTCACTGGTGCTCGATCTGGAAATTCAGGTGCCCGGTGAACCAGTCGTTGAAGAAGGACTGCTCGATGTTGCAGGTGGCTGCCATCTGTGGGGGCAAGGAAAGGTGAGGATTAGTGGCCTCTCACCCCAAAATCAGACCAAAGCTCCTCTTGCCTGAGCTGTCAGAATGGAGACACTGTCACGGTGGGGCCACTGGGTGCAGCAAGGGGAGCTTTAATCCTCCTTCAGGGCTTACTGTTGAGTAAACCTGAAGTAAGTCACAGTCCGTGGGTTTGACTGGTGGTAAAGTGGTGTGGCAATCCGAGCCCAGGCTCCTCAATCTCAGCCTCTCCCAATAAAAACCACATGGTTAACAATAGTACCAATGTGAAAAATGGGGCAGGAAAAATGCATGGACACAAAGCCTGCTTTTCCACCCATCTGCTTAATTCCCAGTGTGCCTTACGTGCAAGGTCTGAGCATTCTGACAGTATCTATTAGCTATTCTTGCTATTAATGGTTGTAAAATTAGATACTCTTTCTTAAAATCCTCCTGTACTCTGAACTGGCTGTATTGAGCTCTCCCTCCAGCTTTGATTTTCAGTGAGTCTCTACTGTTTGTATCTATGTGCCAAAATTCAGCACACAGGAGAGCCAAATCACGCTTCTTTAACCTGATACTGCCTCAGATCTGAAGGAACCTTTTGATCAAATGAATTCCTAAATTTTACACTTCCATGTCTTGGCCCAGCACCACTGGCTCTGGGAAGAAGGTCCTTATGGGAGAGGTGATGGGCAGACACCCTGCACTCCACTGGGGGTAGTGGTAACCCAGTCGTAGAGTAAATTCCATTTTGGGGTGAGTTTGGGGTGTTTTTCCCCTCCTGGTTACCTGAGAGCTCAGCCAGTCTCTGTGCTTCTCAGAATCAATTTCCATTGGAATGTGGTTCATCTGGGTGACCCACACGAACCAGTGGCTCTCCAGAAACCTTCAAAGAGAGGAGAAATCCTGACAATTGATACACAGGTGGGGACATCAGCTGGGGTTTACAGGGAACATCAGGAGAGGAGGATATCCTCCTGCCAGAAGGAGATTTCTCTGAGGTATTGAGGTAAATTGCTCTCTCAGAACCACTCCAGGTCTCAGCTCTGCCTCAGGCTTCTTTATTTAGAGTGGCTTTTTTATTGCTTATGGCACAAAATGGCATTTTTGAGCACCTGTGCCACAGTCTGCATAAATGCATTTTTTTTATTCCCTTTAACCAAGAAGTTACTTTACTGTAACTTTATTGTAGTTGCATTAATATAAACTGAGATTTAGATGTATGTTGACAAGGTGTTGCCTGGACTCATCCTCGTTCCAGGATGTTCACCAACCTTGTTTAAGCCTCTAGGCTTGTTTTCTGCAATTTTGCCTTTTTTTTTTTTCTCTTGCACTTTGAGCTTGATGAAAAATTTTTGAAATAAATAATGGGTCAGCTGAGATAAGTTTTTCAGCCTGATTTCAGGCTGGAAGCAGGTACAGAATCACCTCTGGGAAAGGGTGGCCAGAGAAGCCTGGAAGGATCCAGCCATGACCAAAGTGGGAAAAAACGCATAAATATGTTGGGATTGGACAGTGTGTGTGGCAACAGGGAAGGAGGAAAGCGAGGAGAATCCTGGCTGGACCATGGCAGTGCAGGGGAGATGCTGAGCACCAGAACCTCCTGTGCTGCAGGGAGGTGGGATTGGAGACAGCAAGAGGGAAGTGAAGCAGTGGGAATAGCCAAGTGGGAACAGCCAAGATAACACACAGGGAACCTAAAAAAGGGCACAGCAGAGCTGAGACTGGACCTGCCTGGCACTGGAGGGAGGGGAGGGCAGCAGGGATGCCCTTTCTCTCCTACCTGACAAACGTGAGGAGGCACAGGGATCCCAGCAGGCCGTAGAAGGGGATGTATGTGATGAAGTAGCGCAGGTAGTAGCTGATGGCCCAGGCCAGGTCCTGGGGAAGAGAGAAGGCATCAGGCATCCCTTTGCCCATCTGGGATAACGTGTCCTTGCTGGTGATGCTGGGCACAGCGGGTAACCCATCCCTCCCTCTCTGCTCCAGGGTGGTTTCCCAGGGAACAGGCAGACCCCCCAGGGATGGAGGGAAGGTTTCACTCACCGCCCAGAACCTGCGCCTGATCATGGTGGAGATGATTTGGATCTGGAAATACACGGGGATGAGCAGAGGTGGGAAGACTGCAAAAGCAAAGGGAGATGTTTTGGCCGTCAGAGGGGTGGGGAAGGCGTGTGACATGAGCAAGCAGGTGATGTGGGACTGGTCCCAGGGAACTTGGAACACGCTTTTTTTCTTTCCATTTAGTGTCTCCCACGGAGGTGACTCCCAGTCCTGACCCAGGGGCACTCACAGTGGTCCTGAGGAAGGGTGGGATGAGCTGAGATTTAAGGAGTTGCTCTGCTGACACCGTAAAGGCTGGAAGGGTCCACTGGCATTCCAGGAAAAGGGAAAAGTGGAGAGCAGATACTCACTGAGGAAGAAGTACTCGTGCTGGTGGTTGTAAGGCAGGTACTTCAGCTTCTTCTTGCCGTACTGCAGGGCACAGAGGAGAAAGCTCAGCCTTGGATTGTGCCACTCACAGGTAGGAGCAGAGTCTCTGCAATGCTTGATCTACTGGCTGCATAGTCTTGACTGATTTCCCACCACCAGCTAAGAAGTGTTTTGGGATGATTAAATATCACGTCTTTGCAATTGTGTTAAGTGTAAACTCATTTTTAAAGCCTCCTGGCTTGACATTCAGGTAATTTCTATTTCCTTGAGAGCCTGATGGCATTTTAATGCACTTCTCCACCTTCTGCCCTGCCTGTGGCCATGATGAAATCTGCCAGCACCCCCATCATTCCTGATATAAATGTGATAGGCATAAAGCCTGACTTTTTGGAAGTCACTGCACGGAATGTCTGTGCCAGGCAACAATCCTTGTGTAGTTTTCCACGCAAAACAGAAGCACCAAGTCTGCAAACTTCACCTCCTTGGTGAAGTATATCTAAAGCTATAGAGAAATGTCTTTTTGGAGCTCCAGGATTGCTCCCACCAGGAGCCTGGAGAACATGGATTGCTGTGAACTTGCATTATTGCTCCCAGCACAACAACTTCCCAATGACCATCTACCAGTGCCTGTCCCCCCTACATGTCTCTGGAGTTACTTTCTTAATAGTATAAAAGCTGGCTGAGAAACTATTTTTAATGTTGCATTTCTGTGTTGTCTTTGCTGCAGATGCTTCTTTGTTTATTTTCTTTGTTTATTTTCTTCAGGTTTTTTTGTTGTTGTTTGTAAACCAGAAATCCTCGTTCCATTGTGGAAAAAGACAAAGGGTGGTACATGGTTTAAGTCTTTGTGTGGGTTTTTATAAGTAGACAGTAAATATTTTGGCTCTGGAGGAATAGACTGAATTAAAATCACTTAATGTAGCCTGTTCATTCATGTGCAGTGTGTCAGTTAATGTAAAAAACTGAGAAAATATTCTTATGCAAACAATATCCCTTCAACTGCTTCTGTGGAGAGGACCTCGTGCAGATCGTCTGGGGCACAGTTGGGTTGACTAATGCTGGAAGATATTTGCTATGGAAATGGAAAATCAGCTTTGAAATGCTCTTTATGGAGCACTGAGGAACACCCTTTCCCCCTCGTGCTGATATTTCAAGCCAGCAGGATGAAGTTGCCTTTAAGGCTTTCTGCTCTCTTTCCAACCCCATCTGCATTGTTTTTCCCAAGAAACCCCAAAATGCTTTCTCCTGTGGATAGGAGATGGCCAGGGAACTATTAGTCAACCCTGCTCTTCAGCCCAAGGGTTGGGGAGGGTGTGATGGCCAAACTCCCGTCAGACAGATGAAATCCCTGGATTAAACATTTCCTTTCTAGCATTCCTGGAAGTCTTGACTGTGCAAGTCATGTGTACCAGCAGAAGCCAATTCCTGGATTTGCACAATCATTGCCTGAAGCCCTTTTAGGCAGTAGTTTTCCATGTTTTACCCACTTTTCCTTACCTCGACAGGCTGTGTATCTCCAAGGACAAAAATGTGCAGCATGTTCACATCTGGGTCCTTCTGGAATATGTTGGGCTTGGCGTGGTGCTGGAAGTGCCGGTGGTTCCACCAGTTTGCAGAGGCACCCTGGGCAGACACAAGGACAAGGGATTCATCCATGGGAAGCTCCACCTCCTCCAAGGGTAGGATTGCCCAACCATTTATATAAACTAAACCAGTGCAGCTCAGATCACGTTATCAAAACGTTGTTTGCTTTTGGAATAGCAGCAAGCAGGGAGTGGCTGAGCTGTTGGTTGCTACGAGACTGCTGGTTCCAGAGGGATGGTTCATCCTCACTGAGGATCATCCATATTGAAAGACAGGGAATAAATACACTCTCAGTGAGTTCCATGCCACTGTGTCTTCCCACACAGAATGATTTGGGTTGGAAGGGACCTTAAAGACCATCCAGTTCCAAATCCCTGCCATGGGCAGGGACACCTTCCACTAGGCCAGGTTGCTCCAAGCCCTGTCCAGCCTGGCCTTGAACACTTCCAGGGATGGATAGAATCATTCAGGTCCTGTAAAATCATCAAATCCAAGCATCAACTAACACTAACCAAATCCTCCACTAAACCCTCTTGCTGCCTTGCCAGTTATTATCCTTGTTTGCCTCCTCTGCCTGTGAGGCACAAAGTGGGTTTGGGAGAACGGTGCCTGCTGCACGTGGATGAAATGCCTGGATAGCACTGGACTTTACACAGGATAGAAATCCTGGAGACATCTGGAATGGGTGGGATGTAGCAGGATGGGATGTTTGAAAGATATTATTCCTTACTGGAGTGCATGGCAAAAATATGGATATAAAAATTATGTAATTTATAAAGCTTTGTCCTCAGCTGGTATAAACTGTAGTGGTTCCGCTGGAGCTTGTGGAATTACTGACTCAGCTATGAATACAATCTCTTATCTCTTCTGCAGAACAGCTCCATGTACAATGGTCACAAAGTTCTTTGTGCTTCTGCTCACTTTGGGAAGGTTTAGTGCTGCTCTTTCCTACCCTGACACGGCCAAAGTGACCCCCAGGTGTTTCTACAGAGCCCTGGTTCCACAGTGTCCTTTACCTTCAGGTGTCCAATGACAAACTTGTGGACGATGTGGTTCCAGGAAGATTTCTTAAAGACAGACAGGTGTCCAAAATCATGTTGCAGCCACCCTGCCTGGGCCTGGGATGAAGGGAAATCAAACAGTTAGGAAGCTGTTTGGAATGAGAGTGAAGCATGAAAGAAACAGAGACGGAAGGCACATTGTGAGTGTGAGGAAGAGAGGGAATTAACTGAGTGAGGAGGTGAAGATCTCAGGAGAGGAACATTAAATCATGGAATCATTCAGGTTGGAAAAGACCCTTAGGGTCATGAACCCAACCGTAAACATGACAGTGCCAAATCCACCAAGATGTGGAAGGAAAAGAGAAAGGTGAGAAAAATGCGTGAGCCACAATCAGGAGGCACCACAGTGGCAGGTGAGTTGGGAGTGTTTTTCACTGGTGTGAGTGTTTTGCTCTGGTAAGTAATGTAATATGAAAAGTTCAGCACACACTGTCCTTCTCCTGAGTGATTTGTGCTGCCAGCGTGCTCCATCCCTACGAGCTCTCACCTGGGAAGTTGTAAGGATGCAGGCCAGGATGAGGGTTGTGATCCAGCCAGTACCAAAGTATGAAACCATCAGCCAGGCCAACACTTCCATTGCAATAATGTGGCCCAAGTAAAGAGAGAAGAACAAAGGGCTTGCTCTGAACAATTTCATGTCCTCTGCAGTCTTCCTCAGGGTCCGGAAATCCTCCACCAGCTGGGACTGCAGGAGACAGGCAAGAGCAGTGTGAGGCTTTGGAGGGAATCTGAACGAGCTGAAGGATGACTCCCATGCTAAGGACCCTGCAGTGCTTGGCTACTCCAGGAGTAAAGGACCTGCCTCCATATTCACCTCATTTTCCAGCTTTTCACAGCACTTCCCTATAAATAAACATCCTGGCTGGTCTGAGCCCACATCCTGACCTTTTGCACCTTGAGCCAGCAGAGTAATTCAAGCCTCCTGCTGTGGATCAGCAGCACGACCTGGCTCTGTCAAGAGTCATATCACCTGCTGACTCCTGCCTGAATGAGCTTCCCAAGCACTGAAGAGAAGCTGGAGAAAGAGAGAATCCAGTGCTACTGTGCAGAATTCCAGAGCTCTGATGATGAGCATCCAGTATCGGCGCCACCGTCGTCTATTCAAGCTGTGGGGTCGTGCCGTGCACTCACCCATGAGGAGCGTCCCTGGGTCACTGGGGGTCACTGCTGGCTCCTCTATTGTGAGTGACACAGATCTATCATAATCATGGCCAGCCACAAACAGCGGGGCAGGATTGGGTTTCGTGGCAGGAGCCAGGCGTGCCACGCTCCGGGCCTGAATTATGGATGAGCAGTCTGGCAGGCGAGCAGAGCTGCCCTGGGGGTGGTGAGTGGGTGGGAAGGGTGCTTAGTGGGTTGCTCCTCCTTAGCACAGCCACCAGAATGAGACATCTGGGTCACCTGTGCTCACGCCATGCATGGCACAGTGTGTGCTCCCCAGAGCTCTGCTGGCACCGCGCTCTGCAGGGTAAGCCAGCAGGAGTCTCAAAGAGGCATTTCCCTGGGATTAATGTGTCCAAGGGAACTGCAGAGCAAACAGGGAAAGAGATTCAGGTCTTGCTGAGGTGCTGAACACCTGTCTGGAAGCCTATTCAGACTTCTTTGCCTACTCCTGTCCTTGCCCCACAGCAGGCAGGTGGTGACGTGTTTTAGAGCTTGTCACCAGAGAAGGAACGGCAGAAGGGACCCCAGTCACCAGAGCTGCTGCACATTTCCCTTTCCACACGTCTCAGTTCCAATTTCCCTTCAGGATGGGATCAGGCCAGCCTAGAAACCAGCTGCTGGTGGCTCTGTGGCAAAGGAAAGGCTAGCACAGACAGTCTGAACCTGTCGCCCCACTGCCACGAGCATTTAAATCTGTATTGGGATGTGCACGTTGCCATGTGGAGATGTTTAGTTACTGAGAATTTTCCTCCCTTTCTGGAGCTGCCTGTAGGGAAGAGACCTTTACAATCTCCCTGCTTCTGACCTGGAGAACACCCCAAGAGGAAAAAATGGTGGGAATACCCACCATGAACCCCAGATCAGAAACAAATACTCACGTTTTTACCTCGGTCCTGGCTGGGCTCCCCTGGAGCAAGTTCTCCAATAAGCAACGGCTTGAGAAACTTTTGCACCAAGGTGGGATTGATATGGAAAGCCTGGAATGCATCCTGGAGTGGAAACAGGAGTAACTGTGAGATCAAAAAGTAAAATGTGCCTTCTATGTGCTGTATCATTCCCATCCACTTCCAGCAGCTGTGCCCCCCATGTACCTGTGAAAGAGGGGCAGGAGGTGACCTCCACCTCTGGGATCACTGTTTGGGGCTTTAATTCCACTTTAAATCCAAAATGGATTTGCTTCCCCATTCTCAAGGGAATGGCGAGACCTGGGAAGTTATCCAGCCATATGGTGAAAGGCACCTCAAGAAATGTTTTCTAAGCAACTAAATACTTAAACCCTGTTAATTCCCTTAGAAGGTAGGCAGGGAGGAATTTGTGCAAATCCCTACTAGGATATAAATACCCTTGGAAAGTCTGATGCTGGGGAGGGGTTGACTGTGGTGACTGAACCTCGATGTAACTGCAAATACAAAAAATACCAAAAATACAAAAAAAAACCCCAAAATACAAAAGTATTACTTGGTGCAGATCCTGTAGATCCCAGCAGTAAAACAGCTGAGGAAAACTGGTGACTTTTTATTTTGGAGCTGGCCCTTTCTCTTTTTATTCTGTAAGATGAGTAACTGAGAGCTCCCTTAACTCTTCTTTATTCTAGAACCATATTCTGGACATATTGGCTGTTCTATCTCCCTGCAAGTCTTAGAGAGGAACCCAACCATGCTAAGCAGGTTAGAAATCTTAAAATTATTAGAGTTATCAATACATGTGATGAGATTTCTTGTCATTTCTCCTGTATGTTTTCTGTTCAGTTCTGTTCAGTCTGAAATGTTGGGTGCATTTCACTGAAGTCTCCATAATACTTGTTAATAGACATAAATTATGTTAAGTTTCAGCAACAGAATCTAACTGAGGGATGAAACTCAGTATTGATGAAACCTGTGAGATAGTCTTATCCTACATACTCCTGTGGCTGGAAAAACAGGAAATCAATTGTAATATGATTTTTCTTATATATTTTCAAGACTTCTTCTAATATGGAAGAATAATGCCTTGTTGGTAGAGTTGATTTGATCCTGGAATTCATGAGTTTACCCAACTCTTCTTTTTTTCTACTCCTTTCCCTTCCCACAGGTTTTTGTCTACCTGTATCCTACAGGTGCCTTATGGGAGCATATATTTGATGTCAGAGATCTTGCCCACTCCTCCTTTCACAAGCCAAGGCTTAAATTGTGACCCAAAGACAATGTTAGGGACAGAAAGCTGACAAAGATCAGAAACCCTTATTGTGCCCTTGCCCTTTCCTTACTGCACAGAATTAACTCCTGGGATTCACCCAGGAGAGCTGTAAAGATTATAGCTCCATGAAGTGCTAAGACCAGTAAGGAAAAAAAAAAGAGTTGAAACCAGGAGTCAGGAGTCCTGTGTTTCAGCCTTTCCACCTTTGTCCCATTGCCTAACAATTACAGGGGCCAGCTCGGTCTCCTTCCTGGCTCTGAAGAGCAAGGGCAGAGTGGAAAGCTGACCCTCCTGGGAGCTGACCTCCATCACAAGCCCTCAGCCCCAAAGTCCACCAAAATCAATAGGAACTTTCACCTGATTCCAAGGCTTTGGGTTGACCTTTGAAATAATACTCTGACCACAGAAATTGTGCTGTGGAAGGTAATGTTTGTGTGTGTATATATATATATATATATGCATACATGTAAACAGGTACTGCAGCATTTTCAGCTCTTGGACCCACAAATATGTCACTGACTTGTTAACTCTGGTTGCTGGTTCCCTTCTCTGGAACAATTTTCAGATGATGTGAAAGAGGAAGGAAGAGCAGAATGAGTGGGGGAGTGAAGAGCTGACTGTACCAACTGCAAGGCTGTGCAATTTTGAGGGAAAAAAAGGGGAAGAAGGGGAAAGAGTGAACATGTAAGAAGAGAGGTGAGTCAATATTATTTAAACTAATGGGAAAATAAAGTCTTTGGAAGTCTGACTGGGTGCTGCCTGTCACTGTGCTGGAAATCCTGCTGGTTTGTGTTGTATTAATTTAGGTGTATTAATACACCTATAAGGTATTTTTGTCTACCTGGGGCTTCCCTGCCAGTAGCAAGTTTTCTAAACATGCCTAGAAATGCTCTGTCTTGCCTTTTCCAGGGCCTTTTCCTTTTTCTGCCTCTGAACTGAATAGTTTACTTCTTTCTGGGTGGGATGAAAGGTAAGGGTTGGAACTGGTCAGAAATGCAAATGTGAATGTCAGAATACGTTGTTGATCAACAAGAAATGTTTTTATTAGCTATATGTCACGTATCTCCTTTATTAATGCATCCTGAATATAAGATAGTACCTGAATTTTGGGATTGTCCTCGATCCTGTACCACAGGAGATAAAAAGCAAAAGGCAAAAGATAGTCTTTGGGAAGTGCTGTGGGATTTGGCACTTGACTCTCCAACTTTGTGCTCTACTGACCAAATAAGCTTAAGTGTCTTGCAGGATATGGGCAAGTGGGATTTATTCCAGCTGCTTTTGGTGAAAAAAAGCTTTCTATAATCGAGGTATGGACATTTGAAGTGCTTAGAGCATCAGCACAAGGGTGTTCTGTCACATCCTTGAACATCCTGAAACAGAGACACTGCAGGGTGTCCCTGCCTCCCTGCTCCGTGCATGAGGTGACACCAGAACAGGTTGTCCCAGACTAATGTGTTGTGTTAAAGTGTGGCCTAAAAGTCATAGAATAGATTAAAAATCACCTCATTCCATCCCCCACCTTCCACTACTCCAGGATGCTCCAAGCACCTTCCAACAACCCATGCTTGAACACTCTGGGGATGGGGCAGCCACAGCTTACCTGAGCGATCCATCCCAGAGCCTCCCCATCCTCAGAGGGGAGGATTTCTTCCCAAAATCTCGGTCTAAACCCACCCTTTGTCAGTGTGAAGCCATTCCTCCTCGTCCTGGCACTCCCTGCCAACTGCACTTGTTGCTAAGGAGAACCTGAGACAGATGGAAGCCGTGTACAAAACAGGGATGTAAACATGGGAATTTTTATTATTGCCTTTTCCTCTTCCTAAACTCTCTCAGCTGTGATACCTTGCAACACAGAACAAAACTTGTCAGATGAAGCCTCGACAGAGTCAAGGCCAAGCCTTTCTCACCCTGAATGAGAGGATTTTTTGGCACTAAACTGTTATTCACCACAGGGAAGCTGGCAAACTGATGCCAATCCTGCTTTAGGTCTCAGAGTGGTGATTTAACAATTTTAGAGCATTTTTAAGACTTCATGGCGTGAGATACAGGAAGAGTGGGAAGGTGGGTGGGGAGGTGGAAGGGGGACCAGCAATCCTAGAATCACCGACCTGTATTTCAGCCTCCCTTTTAAGGAATCCAGACAAATGCAATAGCTGATGCTTTTTGGTTTCTCATGGAGATTTTGGAGTTAAATTCTTGGGGATAGGAGTCAAAATTCCTCCAGTTTCACCAACTCTGTGTTTAGGCACAGAAAGTAAAACCTAGCCCATCTTTTTGAGGGGGAAAGCTATTCATTCAGAGGATTTACTGGAAAGGGACAGGAATGCCACAATGTAGCTCAGTGTTTCAAGGAAAAGAATGGAAAAATAACCATGAAATGCAAGGAAATGGGGACTGATGGAAAGGGAAGGTTAGTGGTTCTACCAAATAATTTTGTCATACATGGAACCTCCTCCTTGTTAAGGTGTCAGGGGCTATGGGAGACCAACAGTTAATGTTGCTGCTTGGTCTCTGCACATTTTGGGAAAAGCTCTGAGGCAGTTTGGATTCTATTAACGTGCCCTAAGGCGAGAACACACTCTCTGGATGCACTTCTGAGGAAGGTGGTTTTGAGGGAAACTCCAGACAGCAAACAATTTATTTCTAATTTGTTCCTTTGTCAAGGTCGGGGTTTTTTTTTTGTTTGGCTTGATTTCTTATTTTTTAAGTTGCTGAAACCTGAGAGGTGGCTGAATCCAGCTCGGGAGCAGCTGGAGCAGCAGCAAATGGTTTGCATTTTTTTTGCTTTTTTTTTTTCCCTTTTCTGTAGCAACCTGTAACTAAATTCTCTGGAGAATTCTCTCCTGGGGAAAAAAATGCTAAAAAGCTCCTTGTTTTAAAGCCTCAAGCTCACCCTCCTCACAGAAGCAACTTTGAGACCCAGCCTGGCCTCTCCTTAACCCTTCCCGTGCTTGGCTGTGTGACTCTGCATGTCAGACACGCTGGAAAAGGGGAAGATTTGGGACACTTCGCCCCTGGATTCAGAGCTGCAGGCACAGCCACGAACAAGAGACAAAGGCAAACCATCAGGATTTAAGCAGAGCCCAGCAATCTCTAGGTGCGGATTGCCGAGGTTCCGGGGAGCTGCATCCATTTGGACCAAGCTTTTCGCTCCTCCAAGCAGCGAAAGGGCTGAGCTGGATGTCCAGCAGGTGGTAGGGAGATGGGGAGAGGGAAGAGGTCGGCAGCCGGCTCCCTTCAGACCCAGCAGGGAGGGAAGGAGCTGTCAGAGGATGCTGCTGGAGCCGAGAGAGCCGCGGGGGTCGGTGCGGAGGGTCCTTACCGTGGCATCTTCTCCGGCGCAGTGGCTGATCACTCGCTGCCCCCCGGGTGCCTGTTTGCCCACTTGGTGACATTATAAACCTTTCGTTCTATCACCAGCCACTTGTCCGTCCTCAGGTTGTGCTTCTGGATCTCCTCCCAGGTGTAGAAGCGGATCTGCGCCGCCGGCTCCCCCGAATCGCCCCCTTGCTCGCCCCCTTTCCCCATGGGGCCGCTCGGTTCTTCTTGCCCAAAGGGGGAGGTGGTTGGGGGGAACCTGTCCCTGCGCTTCTTAGGGATGCGCCGGAGGGGAAGGGCTTTCCTTGCGGGATTTAACTCAGCTGATGCCCTGCTCTCCCCCTTCGCCTTCGCTCATGTCCTCCCTTCTCTTTGTCTCTCGTTTCCCAGCCCTTGGAACCTCTCCGCCTGCTCGGAAGTGCCCCCTAGGCTGGCTGTCCCCGCACTGGTGCACTTTCTCCTCGCACATAGCCCTGTTTTGTGGGAAGCTCGGCCCCTTCCAACCCCCGCCCCCGCACTCCTCCCCTCAGGTATCCTCCTCCTTCCCCCCGGCTGCCACCATCCTCCTCCTCCTCCCCCCCAGGCATCCTCCCACCCTCGGCATCCTCCCCCCTCCAGCATCCTCCTTCCACCCCCTTCCGCGGCATCTCCCTCCTTTTCCAGGGCATCCTCCCCCCTGCAGCATCCCCCCCCGGCCCGTGCCGGCGGGTTTCCCGGCGGGATCAGCCGAGCCCCAGCGCCAATCCCGGCCGTGCCGCCGCCCTCCCCCTCCCGGCCATTGGCCCTGCCCGATCTTTCGAAGCCGGGGCCGGGACCGCCCGCCCGGGGCCGGGGGCAGGAGGGACCAGGACCCCCCCTCCTCCTCCTCCTCCGCTTCGCTCTGGGCTTCGTGTCCTCGAGATTTTTTACTCCTGCTTTAAAGAGCTGCACCCACTTCCCCCCCATTGTTTATATTTTATATTTTATTGTTTTGTTTTTTCCTTTCCTCCTTTTCCTCTTTATTTGTTTGTTTTTAACTGCCTTCCCCTCCCTTTCCCCCTTACCCTCCCTTTTCTCCCCCTCCCCATTCCCCCATTTATCCCCTCTTTTCCTTCCTTTTCCCTCTTTTACCCCTTTCCCCATTCCTCCCCTTTCTCCTATTTCCCCTCCTTTCTCCCCCTCTTCTCCCCCTTTTCCCTCCCCTTATCCCTATCTTTTTCCCCTTTCCCCCTCTTACCCCTCTCTTTCTCCCCTCATTTTCCCCCTCCTTTTCTCCCATTTCCCTCCCTTCCCCCCTTTTCACTCTTTCCCCCTTTCTCTGTCTCCCTCCCCCCTTTAGCCTCCCTCTTTTCCCCCTTCTCCTCTTTGCCCCCTTTCCCCCCTTTTTTATTCCTTCCTCCCTTTATCCCTTCTCCCTTTTCCCCACTTCCCCCTTTTCCCCTTTTCCCCTTTCCCCCCTTCTTCTCCTTTTTACCCTTTTTTGCCTTTTAAAACATTTTGACCCTTTTTAACCATTTCCCTCCTTTTCATCCTTTTTTTTACCCCCCTTTTCCCCCTTTGTCTCTCTTTTTTTTCCCCTCCAGACTTCTCACCTCCCTTTTTACTGTCAGGCTTGAAAAGGTGTTGCAATTCTGCCTGAAATTACCATTGTTTTGCTCTATTTTTGCCATCCTGCCACTGAGGCTGCCAGACTCCACAACTTCCTCATGTCAAAAAGAGAGCTGGTTGATCTCAGCCAGTTTTCCTGCCTAGGGCCAGGATTTTATGAACAGGTGGGACAATGCCATCTTTTCCTTGCCGTGGGGCACTTCATTCTATCCAATCCCTGTCGTCACATTACACAAGGTGTTGTGGTGCAAGAGCAGGAACAACTCACAGCACTTTCCCTGCTGCTTTTTTTCACATCTGAGGGTTTCTGGGGCCATTTTTCAGGGCCAGGCAGCTGTGACCCCCAGCTTTCCTGGAGATAGGGATCTTTTCTGGAGATTATTTTCCGTGAATAAATGGAAAGATTATTAATCTTTTCTGTAGTGGCACTGTCTGGGTCAGAGCAGGAGAAGGAATCTACCATAGAATCACAGGGTTTGGGCTGGAAGGACCTTAAAAATCATCCAGTTTCAACCCCCTGCCATGGGCAGGGACACCTTCCACCAGCCCAGGTTGCTCCAAGCCCTGTCCAACCTGACCTTGAACACTTCCAGGGATGGGGCAGCCCCAGCTTCTCTGGGAAACCTGTGCCAGGGCCTGCCCACCCTCACAGAGAAGAATTTCTCCCTAATACCCAATCTAAACATATTTCTTTAGTTTAAACCATTCCCCTTGTCCTAGCAGATGTTTTAATTTCACATCAAATATTTTAATTCACAATGAAATTTGCTTTTTAGCCAACTCCCACACCTCAGTGCTGAAGGGAAGCATAGAATGAGACCAGTGAAAGCACAAAGTGCCTCCAGTCCTGGTGCTGTTGTCCAGCCCAAGCCATGGTTTGGAGCAGGCACAGGCAAGGGATATTCTGGTTTTCCCTGCTGCCATTAGCCTGGAGGAGCTGACAACCTAAACCTAAAAATCTAAAAATCCAACAATCTAAATCTAAAAATTTCTCGTTCCTCTCCATTTCTCCGTCTATTCCCCCTACTCAGGCAACAGGAACAGAGATCAAAGGGAGAGAACAAAAACTTCCACAGCAGTGAGAACCACTCTGTGCTGCCTTTGTGCCAAGCCCTGCTATAGCTTTCCTCTGTTTCTGCCTGGTGTTAGTGCTACAGGAGGATGTCAGCCTATTAAAGAGTCTTTTGCTGTGGTGTGGGGTGAGGAAAGTCAGAAATGAAAGGAATGTTTTCCTAAGACTTGCTAGTTCTATTTAGTTTGGTTCAAAATAGCCCTCTGACCAGGATCATACTAAATTACAGGGAGACGTTGCATTAAGGTGGACCTGAAACTCATTGTTTGTGATGTGGGGAAAGTTTGCTGTGACACTTGCCGAGTTCTTTGAATTTTGGGATCGTAGTCCTGGATAGGCACAATCAATGAATTCCAGTGATTTTCCTGGTAACAGCAGTTGGAAATCTGGATCTCTAGTTCGTGTGACTGTGCTGAGAGGGACCATGGCCCTCCCTGAGACAGGAGGTTGTGCTTTAGCCCTCAGAGGTCCTTTGCAAACCACATTGCATTGTAATTCCATATAGAAGAAGATTGTAAAGCTGAAGAGCATGGAGATGTCTGAGAGGATGGAGAGGCCCAGTGGGCAACAGAGAAAGGAATGATTTAAAGTGACAGAAGGTGGGTTTAGGTTGGCTATTGGAAAGAAATTCTTCCCTGGCAGGGTGGTGAGGCCCTGGCACAGGTTTTCCAGAGCAACTGTAGGTGCTTCATCCCTGGAAGTGTTCAAAGCCAGGTTAGATGGGGCTTGGAGCAACCTGGGCTGGTGGAAGGTGTCCCTGCCCATGGCAGGGAAGTTGGAATGAGATGAGGTTTAAGGTTCCTTCCAACCCAAACCATGCTGTGACTCTGTGTTGATCCTGTAAAATGATCTGAAAACTAGGTTGGTACATTTTGGACACGACTCTTTTCCCTGTAGATGGTCATAGAAGAAGGGTCAGCACCCAGAACTCCTCATCTGGATGTCTCCCATGAATAATTGTTCAATAACTTCGTGGCAAGTCAGAGAAAGGTGCCTATAAAATAATCCCCATCGCTCTCATCCTCCAGCAGCACAGCCAGCCAGGCTGTCAGGCTTCAGGCAGCACTTGTTCCCAGTTTTCTTTGGCTCCTGGGACACAAAGCAGCCCGGGCAGTGAGAGAACAGGCTCTGCTCTCTGGCCAAGTAGGTGAAAGGCTGCAGTGGCTGCAGTGTGGCTTGAACAGCACAAAGAGCTGCTGTGAGGGACATGAAAGCCCTGAGTTTAACCAAATAGTCACGAGACTGGGACAAAAAAAAGGTGAGAAACACGAAAGGAAAGAAAATGTGGAAGAGGGGATGCAGAGGAGTGTGAAGTGGAGGGAGGATTCCTCTTTGCATGGAGCACATGCGGAAGGGGTTTGTCTGCTCCTCAGGGTGATGGAGAAGTACATAAGCTAATGAGTAAGCCAAGGATATCCTGCTGGGTTAGACTGGAATGGAAAAAAAAAACCAGGAGAAATTTGTAGTTCGGATATCTTTACACTGTGTCATGCACTGGTTTAAGGTAAAAGAAATGGAAACCCTCAGGAAAACTTTTTTAAAATGTAGTATAAAATGACATTTTGTGTGTTTGTTGTCTCATCCCTTTACTGAGTTTTACATAGGAGTTGGTAAGACCAGGTAAGTTTCTTTTAATTTGGTTTTTAGAAAGGACTGAGGTCTCCATTAACAGCTGGTTGATTTTGACACCAGCACTCAGCCTGGCACCAGCACCTGGAAATGCCCTGTAGCTGTGCAGTAGTCCCCATGGATGCAGGGGAAATCCTCCTTTTTCCCCAGTTTAAAGTATGAGATCCATCACTTGGTACAGATAGATCCATCACTCGGTATGGATAGATCCATGGCATGTGGTGGGAGAAGGAGGGAGCAGGAGAGGACATGGGAGCAGGTATGTGAAGAGGAAAAATGGGATGGGCTAAGGCAGAAAGTGGAAACTGAGCATACTGGGAGAAAAATAGCGTGAGGACCAGATTTAGCTGCATCTTTAGATTTTGAGATACCTTTAGCTACTCTGCCAAGGAAAAATACATGTAAGGAGAGAAAGGATCTCATGTTTTCCCTCCCTGTCATTAGAAGGAAGGGCTGAGGAGCTCTGAACTGGGTGAATAATAAATTCAAACATAGTGGAAAACAGCTCAGTCCCATCCTAGCTAGGCTGGGGAATGGGATGCTGGAACGTGGAGCCTGAGGTGAGAGAATCAGTGGTTAGGCAGGGATGCTGCAGCTGTCAGTGTATTTAAAACTAAGACCAAAAGCTATCTTAGATGTGTTGATATTTTACACTCTGACATATTCCAGAGTTGATGGCACTTTTTCCAGTCCTGGGAGCTGAGTAACTTCACAAGGGAAACAACCAGCAAAGAAACAGAAATCCCCATTGTGCCCTGGCTGGCAGGGGTTCCACATTCTGCAGTGGATCTTGGGCTGGCAGGGGGATTATCAGGGTCAGGGCACAAACTGCTCTGGCTGCCAAGGAAGCAGGGGACAGAACCACACTGCTGGAGCACAGAAAGCAGCAGACACTGCAAGGCCCCACCAGGACAGGAATAAGGAGGGAAATGCTCTGTTCTGGTGCTGCCTCACAGTAGAATCTCATTTGTAATAATTTCTAATGAAAACAACTGATGTTCTCCTGTTATCATCAGATTATTTCCTTTTCTCCTTATTCAGATTTTGCTTTTTAATGTATAAAAGTCTAAACAATTACTTCCTCACTCCCTCAGCTCCTAATCTGAATTTACTTCTTCTGAAGGACAAAAAAATAAGCTTATTTTTATCTCATCCCTTACATATTCC